CTCCGCCCTCCTGGCCCCGTCGCGCACCCCTGCGAAGCCGTGTTCGCTGTATCCACCTGCATCAGCCACGTTCTTCCAACTAGACGAGGAGAAAAAGCACAACAACAATAACAAATGAAAATGAAATCTAAAACAATTGACAAGCAAGAATAATAAAGAGAGAAATGCGTCGTATAAGACTTCGTACATATTGAAGAATATTAATACATTTATAGGAGCAGTTATCTTCTCTCTAACCCTACTTCTGCTGTTTTTTTATCTCTCTTCCATTTCTTTTCATACGCATAATTACTTAACCAATCTACAAATGTTGATGTTCGGCAAACCAAACAATCAGTTTTGAATTGGGAATGATAGAGCCTGAGTTCAATTAAACATCCTTATACATTTAATGATAATAATGTCGATTGTGAAAGAAAACGTTTTTACCTGAATTTTGAATTCAAGAAGACATGAACATATAGATTTTCTGTACGACCATTTAGTAATATACGCATTCCTGCTGTATATTGAATCGGCGAATGACATGGATTACATACCTCGTGGATTCCGAACTGGAATCCACGGCCTGTCGACCTACACACTCCTCACATGCTATCACATTCGTAGAATTTGCGGAATCCACGGGAAGAATTGCATTCTCTTTGCGATTTGGAACAGCGTTTTAAAATAACAATCACATTGCGCGAGAGGACCAAACGGACAAAGCGGGGAAAGGACGACGAAGAGAGCAAGAAGACAAAATTAGACAATGGGGACAATATGGACAAAGTAGGAAAAGGGTAAAAAATTATAAAATGGGGAAAAGGACAAATTACACAATTAGAAAAATGGGACAATCGGAAAAAATAGGAAAATGGGACAAGGAGACAAATTGGGACTATTGGAAGAAATGGGACTAATGGACAAAATGCGACAAATGGATAAAAGGACAACGACCACAAAAGGGACATATTTATTCAAAGATTTATGAACAGTGCTAAAGTTTAAACTCGATAGTCCGTTAAAATATTTTTAATGTAGCATTTTAACGGCCGTTGCTATGGACACGCTCCTAAAGCTTTGAATGGTTGGTTGCTACGGAGCTAAACGCGTGTTTGTCAACATAAATTACAAAAAATATGTTCAAAATATATACTGAAAATTCCAAGGTCGTAAAGAATGTGTATAGTATTTTACTAATTCTATAGTATATAGTCTTCTACTAATGGCTATTATTCACTCGTAGAAATTCCGACACTCGCTCCTACGTCGCTTATGTCGTAAACATCAACTCGTGAATTATAGCTATCAGTATGCGCTCGTTGAAGGCGCTCGTATGTACTGTACGTTACACTAGAAAGAAAATTACAGTAACCTTCGGATACTGAAAGAAATAATGAAGGTAGCCTTTTCCTTATAGTACAAGTAATATTATTTACTAAAATTAGATATTAAACAAAATGATGAAGATAGTAAAGAAGCTTCGTTGTTTAAACACAGTTTTCCCTTTGCGCAAGAAAAAGACTGTTAGAACCCTATAAAGTTTTTGAACGTATATGTAACCAAAATATGTATAATCATCAGTGCTCTAGTGCACACTCTTACATATTAATAAATAATGGTATAAATATAAAAATTATTTTTTCGCTCCATTCCTTTGTATCAGAACTTGTATGTGCAAAGCACCTTTGCTGATGGATTGCCTCTCAAAATCAAATGTCATATGTGTAACTTCGCTATTTGAGATTCTGATCACATCTTTATTAGAAAAACAATATCATCGTCGACTCCTACATACTACAGAAGTTTGTGAATTTTATTCTGAGACACTGTAGACTCGTAAGTAACTATAAGAGAAACCCGATATTTATTTATTCAACGTCAGAAATAGTTACAAACTGTGTGACGTACTACGGGGAGAAGTGCAAAGTATGTACGTGTGTATGTATGTGGGTATTTTTTTCTAAATAGTAGCAAAATACCTGGAGTTTCCCTGTCTTTTTTCATGTCCAGTCCCTGTTAAAGTGTATAAAGATCAATTTTATATAAATCACTATGTTTAAGATTATTTTAAATGTAATTGGTTCAAATTTTATTAAATTACTACAATATTCTTTCGTTTTATTTTACAGCACATTTCTATTAGATTATATATTTTTATCTTACCAACTGCTATTGGCCTCTAGCGAATATATTAAGTATACGAAATATTCTAGGAACCAATCTTCTCTTAGGGACAGGTGAAAATTAATGATCGTGTCGCATCTACTGACATATTACATAAAATATTTATTTTTCTAACATGGGTAGTATTAATCTTAAAAAACTTTGCAAGGGCACTGAGACAATCTTGAAGAAGAGTCTGTAAACATTTATTTACACGCTCCTTTTTTGGTATCGATGTTGGTTAGATGTTGAATTCACTTTTATTAGTATAGCCGTTTGTGTATTTGAGATGTTTTTTGTAACGTGCGCTGCGTGTGTGCGCAGTCGCTGGGCAACCACGAGTTCGACGACGGCGTGGCGGGGCTGGCGCCGTTCCTGCGCGACGCGCAGTTCCCAGTGCTGGCGGCCAACATCAACGTCAGCGCCGAGCCCTCGCTGCAGCAGCCCAAGCTCAAGCCCATCGCCGAGTTCACCCTCGGCGGCCACAAGGTCTCTCGCTCGCCCCCCCCCTCTCTCACACACACTCGCCTTGCCTCTCCTTCTAGGTCCCTTCCGACACTCCCTTTGTCCCTCTCTGGCCCTCTCCCTCCCTCTCCCTCTTTCTCTCTCTCTCGCACTCTCTCTCACTCTCGCACTCCCTCTCGCTCTCTCTCGCACTCCCCCTCTCTCTCCCTCCTTGACACTCGTCTTGTCGCTCCTTCTATGTCCCTTCTGCCACATCATTTGCCCCTCTCTCTGCCCCTCTCTGACCCTCTCTCTGTCTCTCTGACACTTCCCATCTCTCTCGCACTCCCTCTCTCTCTCTGGTACTCGTCCTGTCTCTCCTTCTATGTCCCCCTCGCTGTCACTCCCTCTGACCCTCTTTCCGTCTCTCGCACTCCCACTCTCCCATTCATTTTCCTATTCATTTTCCTAAGTCCTCTCTGTTCATCTCTTTCACACTCTCGGATACTCCTTTCTATCCAATGCCCATTTCTCTCTCTCTCTCTCTCTCTCTCTCTCTCTCTCTCTCCTTCTATTCCCCTCTCTCTCGCGCGTGCGCGTTTTGTGACGCTCTCTGTCTTTGGCACCCCTGCCTTCTAATATATTACTCTCTCAGTTCTGTCTGTTCCTCTCACCCCCTCTCGCTCCTTTTTCTATATCTATCTACATTCTCTCTATCTCTTCCCTCATATCAAAAAATTATTGGAGTTAGTACTTTATAAGATATGAGAAAAACGCGAACTTATATTACTTACAAATATGTTGGTACATTTTACATTAATTACTTTGAAATACTTCAGGGAAACCAAAATAGTTTTCTTATATCATGTTGAACTGTCACTGTCACAATAATTATTTCTTGTATCTCCCTCCCTACTCCAGATACACCTCAGCTTCTGTATTAGTTTGATTTCGGAATACTTCACTGCAATCATTCTCACATTACTCGATTTATTCTTCATCCATTCTGTACAATTCGAAACAGAGCATTTTGTGAAAAGTTCTAGACTAGCTCTAGGGAGGAAATTAAACTGTCTCTTGTGATGACAGGTCTATAATCTACGAATATTTCCAACTCAAAAAATCTCCTCCATTCTCAAGAATAAGCAGAAGAAACTTTTCCTTTCATCTTCACCCAAAAAAGTTGAGGCGAAACGAAAAAGTAATTCAGGCCTTTTAATAAAGTAGTTGCTTGGCATCTCATTAATGAAGTTGCTTTCTCTCTCTTTCTCTCTCTCTCTCTCTCTCTCTCTCTCTCTCTCTGTTCCTCTCCCTGGCATCCTCTATAATTCACTCTCCTGCTATCTGTCTCTCACTATCGCACACACACACATTTCCCTTTCGATTTCTCTCTCGCACTCTACCTCGTTCTCTCTCACTCAGCCTCTCTCCCTCTCGCGCTTTCTCACTCATTTGGCATCTCTCTCTCTCTCTCTCTGCATCTCTTTCTATCTCTGCCTTTCTCTCGCTCGCTGCGTCTCTCTGTCTCTCTTTTGTTTTGCATATACTTTTTCTCATTCTGGTCTTCTTTCTGCGTCCTTCTGTTTCCATCATATCCTCTTTCTGTTTCTGTACCTTTGTTTCTTTATCTGTATGTTTCTTTATATTTCTGTTTATATTTCAGTTTCTTTATCTTTCAGTTTCTTTATCTTTCTGTTTCTTTATCTTTCTGTTTCTTTATCTTTCTGTTTCTTTATTTTTATGTTTCTTCCTCTTTCTGCCATTTTTCTTTCTATCCCACTCTTCCTCTGTGTCTCTTTCTGTCTTTCTCTTACTTTGCTCTCCCATTTTCACTGCTTCCCTCGTGTATTTGTCTATCTCTGTCTCTCCCTCTCTGTGTACTCGTGCACTCCCTCCCTGCCCCCTCCCCATCTTCCCCTCTTCAACCGCGCCCCTGTTTCGGCGCTTCGAGCGTCTATCAGCCATATAAACAACATGTCGTATATATATAAAAGAAAGAATGACGAGTCGTGTGTGGTGCTTGCAGGTGGGCGTGATCGGGTACGTGACGCCCGAGACGGTGAACATCTCCTTCACGGGGAAGGTGCAGTTCGAGGACGAGGTGGCGGCCATCCGCCGCGAGGCGCGCCACCTCAAGGCCCGCGACGTCCACATCATCATCGCCCTCGGCCACTCCGGGTGAGCGCACCCCACCCCACCTCCCACCCCCGATGCCCCTCAAAGAGGCCTAGCCGGACTGCATCCCGCCGTCAACGTGTCTTAAGCTGTTTACCTACACCCTCAAAAGGCACAGCACGACTGCATCACGTGGTCAACATTTCCTAAGACGCTATGCTAGACCTAAACCATAGCATTATTTGGAAATGTCGTGATTTTTAATATACGATACATGCGTATAATTTAATATATGATTGATAATATTTTACGTGCAATTTCTAGACGTAATCACACGAAAAAATTGAAAAATATGGCATTAAATGTACCTGTAAACTACAATATACAAATTGACTATCTAAATACTTGTGTTATAACACTTTAATGCATTATAAATGAAGTTTTTCTCAAAACTTAGTAGATTCTGGATATTCTAAGGCAAGATTGCTTTTTATCAAAGTAATTTATTTTCATTTAAATGCTCGTCAGCAGGTGAGCTAATTTAAAACTAATACTAATAAATCATGTTTAAACTATCATAAAATTTTGTTTATTGTTGTACTTGTATTGTGTTGCTCCAGAAATGTACGTAATTAGGTGCTGATTAATAGCAGTGTTGTTTATTTTTGCAAGATTTTTATCTTCCGTTTTCGTAATATTATTGAAATTAAGTTTTGTCTTAATTGAAGTGGTAATTATCCATTAATTATGGCTTACTTGCGCGCGAAAACAGGATGTTTTTATTTTGGCTCGTTAGCGAAAACACTCGAGAAACCATTTGCAATAAGAGAAAGTGTAAACGGCATCATAAAAGAGAACAGTGTGGAAATTATAAATAGTACGTATAACACCCATGAAACATGTTAATATCAACCGCTGGATATTTTTATTGAAATAAATATTTTCCCCGAATCATAAATTTTAAAAAAATTGAAATATGACTGCTGTAAATAGGATGTAACTTCTGCATATAATTACCTTATCTACTTCATACGACCAGCTGAATTAGATCAAATAGTTCAATTTCAAATCAAGCTTTCCATGGGCTCTGCTGCAACTCTGGCCGGTAGGCTGTGGGGTTCGAGACCCGACGGAGGCAGATTTTCGACACTTGTTGGATTGCTGGGTCCAGGTCAGCCGCTGCCTGGAGGAGGATTCTAGCGACCGGCTACTCTGATCTATAGCTCTTCCTGATGATCGATAATCTTCCTTTGATTAAATCCATGCAAATGCCGGAACAGTACGGACCGCGGACAGCGCAAGATTTTTCCTTTCTCTTCCTTGTTCTGTCCTCGCCTCTTACACACACACACACACATACTAACATACACTTCACTACTACACATGCCGGGAGACCAGTCGGGAGCTCAGAGCGTTTCTCGCCTGGGGCCTGGTTGGGGATAACCCCGCAAACCGTTGGTTGGTCGGCGTCGGTTCTCACCATCTAACAGGGGAAAGTTAAGCGCCATTTCCTAAGAAAAAAACATGCGCCACACTTAAGGAGCTAATGACCTAGCAGTTGACGCGCCCAGAATCTCCAACCAATCAATCATATGAAGTAAAATCATCACTTTCTCGATCTTTGCTTCAGAGTGATTGATAGTGATAAGAGTGATTACTTTGCCTATGTTACGAGTAAGTATATTAAAAGATTAAAAGAAGATATATTACAACAAGTATTGTATTTAATGAAGTTTCTATAAAACAAGAAAATGTTGCGTGGATTATTTCCTTGACATGTCGACTCGTGAAAGTCGAGGAATATTAATTGACAATTTCTGATAAATTTATCACTTCCAGGGTTTTGCGAAGGTTAAACGAGAACTTGGATATTTTCGCATAACATTTTTGTAAAGTCACATGTATGTAATTACTGAAATGATAAAAAGGTTTACGATAAACAGAATAGCTTCGGTTTCTGTCGTTCCAACAGCCAGTTCAGTTTTGGACATTTGGTGATCTAGTGGGACGGTTATATTCGGTTGGGTTAGCTGCAAAATGACTCCTAGGGATGAGAAAACTTTGGTGATAATAATAATAAATATAATAATAATAATAATAATAATAATAGTAATAATGGTAATATTAATCATAACAATGATAATAAAAATAACAAGAACCCCGAATTTAATGTTATGTTTGTCCAATTTATTTGATTATGCCACTTTTCTTCATATATTAAAAACAATCAGGTAAAATAAATTCAGTAAATTGAATCCATTTATAAAAACGACGTTTCGAAGAGCATAATTTATAAATTATATCAAATAGGTTCATTAACAATTAAAACATCAATCATAGGGACGTTTGACAAAACACTAAAAAAATTGTCAGCTTATTTTTTAATCTATGGTGAAGTTTTAATTCATGGACATATGAAAACGTTTTAATCTATGATGAAGGAGATACGCGTTTTCCCATCACACAGAGAAATTATACCCCTGATAAGGAATAGCAGTCTCTTCGAAACGTCGTTTTCCTAAATGGATAAAATAGACTTAATATCTTATTTTCACCTGATTGGCCCTCTTAAGTGAAGGAAATTGGAATAATAATACCCTAATATTAGCAACAACCACCGGTGTATTGCAAGTAATGTACTTGGCAAAAGAGACAGTTGTTATTTTAGAGCCACGTCTGCCTGTGAATCTTCTACTCCTAATAATTCTTAATACTCCTAAAAACCGAAGTATTTCTGAATATAATAATAATAATAATAATAATAATAATAATAATAATAATAACAATAATAATAATGATAACCATAATAATATTTTTGATGATTCTAATTATTAAATTATCCCAATAACTCTAAGTAAAATAATCTTAATTAAGTTGAATAATCCTAATTTTAGCCATCTTAAAAATCCTAAATATTCCTTATGAACAATTCTAAATACTCCAAATGAACAAACCTAAATATTCCTAATCAACAATTTTAAATATTTCTGATGAATAATCCTAAACAATTCTCATGAATAATCCGAACTAATAATTATAATAAACAATCCTAGTGATTTATATCAATTAACAATCATAGTCAATATTTCTCATAAATAATCCTCAATAATCCTAATGAACCATTCTAGAGAATACTCGTAGCGAACAATCGTGGTGAATAATCTTAATAAATCATCCTACAGCCCAACCCGTGTGAATAAGCCCAATGCTTGATTTATAAATTTTTGGGGTTCCGGAAAGTGCCCCTAATTAATGATTGGTTTAATAAAAATAGTTGAATACATTAAAATTTAACAAGTATCCCTAAGGTTCCGTTCCGTCGCGTTCCGCTTGAAATCCTAACGAGCAATCCTAACGAGCAATCCTAACGAGCAATCCTAACGAGCAATCCTAATGAGCAATCCTAACGTGCAATCCTAACGAGCAGTCCTAACGAGCAATCCTGACGCAGCTACGACGTGGACCTGCGCATCGCGGAGGAGGTGGAGGACGTGGACGTGGTGGTGGGCGGCCACACCAACACCTTCCTCTACTCGGGCGACCCGCCGGACAGCGAGAACGCCACCGACCTCTACCCCACGGTGGTGACGCAGGCGTCGGGCCGCAAGGTGCCCGTGGTGCAGGCGTACGCCTACACCAAGTACATGGGCCGCCTCAACCTCGTCTTCAACAACCAGGGCGAGCTGCGCTCCTTCGACGGCAATCCGCTCCTGCTCAACGCCAGCATTGAGGAAGGTCAGTCCCGCTCAAGGGCACGCACAAAAAAGGGAGAGAGGAGGCAGGCTCCAATACCGAGCCGTAAAAGTGGAGCTGTGCTGCTCCCTATTGGAGTCTGCCTTCTCTCTCTCTTTTTCTTGTGTGACTTTGAGATGCTACGTTAAAAAAAGTGATTATACGACCCGATTTACTTAAAGGTTTGCGTCCCGCAAGTACTTTTTGGCCGTACCCGTTCCGCAAAGTGTTACTTTGCCATACGCGTTCTGCGAAGTGCTACTTTACCGTACGCTTTCCGCAAAGTGTTACTTCGCCGTATGCTCCCCGCAAAGTGCTACTTTGCCATTCGCGTCCCGTAAAGTGCGACTTTGTCGTACGCTCTCCGCCAAGTGCTACTTTGCCATACGCGTCCCGTAAAGTGCGACTTTGTCGTACGCTCTCCGCAAAGGGCTTCTTTGGCGTACGCGGTTCGCAAAGTTCTACTGCCGAACGCGACCTGCCAATTTCTGCTTTACTGAATGCGACCCACTGTGACCCATTCGCGTGCGTGCGTGCGTGCGCTTGCAGACGCGGACATGAAGCGCGAGCTGGAGACGTGGCGGCCGTCGGTGGAGGCGCGCACCAAGGAGGTGGTGGGGCGCTCGGACGTTCTGCTCGAGGGCGACTACCGCAAGTGCCGCACGCAGGAGTGCACCCTCGGCAACCTCGTCGCCGACGCCTACGTCATGCACGTAAGACCAACACCCTTTCTCCCCCCCCCCACACACACACAGACACTGGCATATTAACTGAATGAATGAAAATAATAACAGAATATATAAAAAAAATTAACGAATGAAAAATTAAAACGAATTGAAAACTAATAAATGAGCAAAGGTTAAAGAATGAGTGAAAAATAGTGAATTAAAAATCCTAAAACTAATTAAGGAACAAGTGAAAAAGTGATAAATGATTAAGTAAAAAATTAATAAATAAATTAGTTATAATGAAAACGAATTAGTAAAAAAACGATCGACAAAAGGAATAAAAGAGAGAATAAAACTTAATAAATGAATGAGTGAAACATTGATAAATGACGTTGAAAAATTAATAAATGAATGATTGAAAAAAATTAGATGCATAAATGCAGTTACAAACACTTGCACACAAAATGGTTACGTGCATAATTACTGCATGCGTGCACTGCTCGGGGTGTGAGTGGGTGCGGTGTGCGCAGCACGCGCGCCGCCTGCCGCCGGCGGAGGGCGCGTGGACGGACGCGGCGGTGGCGCTGCAGCACGGCGGCGGGCTGCGCGCCGACGTGGACGGGCGCCTGGGGCCCGCGCACAACGTGACGGTGGGCGCGCTGCTGCTGGCGCTGCCCTTCGAGAACCGCATGTTCCGCTGCGAGGTGGAGGGCGGCCGCCTGCGCCAGGCACTCGAGTGGGGCGTGTGGCGCTACGACCCCATGCGCGTCGTCAACCCGGGCGCCTTCCTGCAGCTCTCCGGTACGCAGCGCACGCGCTCTCTCGGGAGACGGCCTGAGTGGAAGTGGGCGGGGAGACTTGCTGACGGGGTGATTGACTGACGGGGTAACTGACTGACGGGGTGACTGACTGACGGGGTTGACTGGCTGACAGAGTTATTGACTAGAGGGTTGAAAGAGGGCGGGGTGACTAACTTAGGGGTTGACTGTCTGACGGGGAGACTGACTAGACGGGGGAATGAAAGATAGGTTAACTTAGGAGTTGACTGACGAACGCGGTGATAGCTTGACTGACCGTTTGACTGTCGGTGTAATTGTGTGACTGATGGAGTGGTTGTTAGTGATGAGACATCGACAACAAAACATAAATGTTTTGAAATATCGCAGTTCAAATTGTAACAATCTAATTTCTAAGTACATCGACTATAAATTCTCGATGTTGTTTAACAATTTTACCTTATACGATAATACGAAATAATACCGAATATTACAAAACATTGACTAACTTTTTTTACACTCTTGGTAACTTTGATCTGATAAAAGTTCAAATTATAGATAAAAGTACAATAATTCAAAATTATTGTACTTTTTTAGTATTATAGTTTTCCTAAATATCAACAATCGAAGAAACAGAGCTCAAAAAACATCAGCATCAATAAATTGATGTTAAATGTATCGATATTTGTACAGAAAAAAATCGATGTTTTGAAAACATCGACGTGGATGTCACATTCCTAATTGTACGACTGGCGGTGTGGCTGTAACTGACAGGATGATTGTGTGACTGACCTTGTGATTGTGCGGCTGGCAGTGTAACTGGCGGGGTGACTATGTGAATGACTGTGGCTAACGGGGTGACTGTGTGACTGGCGGTGTAATTGTATGTGTGACTGTGTGATTGATGTATGACTGATGGGGTGTCTATGTGATGAGGTGGCCGAGTGACGGACCATGTGTTAGTTTAACTGCTGATGTGATTGTGTGAATAACGATGTAACGAATGACGATGCGACTGACGGTCTGAGTGGCCGACGGTCTGAGCGACTGACGATCTGAGTGGCCGACGGTCTGAGTGACTGACGGTCTGAGTGACTGACGGTCTGAGTGACTGACGGTCTGAGTGGCTGACGGTCTGAGTGGCCGACGGTCTGAGCGACTGACGGTCTGAGTGGCCGACGGTCAGTCTGGGCGAGTGATGTGGATGTGGTGGCGTGACTGGTGCGCAGGGCTGCGCGTGACGTACGACTTGCGGCGCGAGGCGGGGCGGCGCGTGGCCGAGGCGCTGGTGCTGTGCGCGCGGTGCGCGGTGCCCGACTGGCAGCCGCTGCAGGACGACGCCTCGTACGGCGTCGTGCTGCCCTTCTTCTTGCTGCAGGGCGGCGACGGCTTCGGCATGCTGCACGACGCCTACCACAACGGCAGCTGCGTCGACCAGAGTGAGCCTCTTCCGCTCTTCCGCTGCGGGCGGAGCGCAGTGCTTGGCGTGCTCGTGGAGGGGGCGCTGTTCCTCTCGCGCGGGATTGTGAGATCTGGCGCCGAGTTGCACGTTGGCTAGCTGGGGATTTCACCTCCAAGTTTCTGCCCCAACAGAACGCCGTCCCAGCCGGGACAAGCTCTAAGCTCCTGACCGGTCGCTGTGTAGATCCAGGCATTTAAAAAGGGGAGATGGCTCGGGGCGCCAACTGATGCCATTGCAGTCCGAAAAACCGTCGGGAGCTTGAAGCGTGTTCCGGCTGGGACTGCACCCTTCTGGTGGGGGATACCTGGTTCGGGAAAACCCTCTACCGCCGACGGTAGGTCGGCGCCGGATCTCGCCATCCAGCGGGGGAAGATCACAGACACCGCCCGAGCAAAAACATACACTACACTTAAGAAACTAATGATCCTAGTTGTTGACGCGCCCGGAATCACTAAAACTCAATCAAGTAATCAGGCATTTATTATACCTAAAATTTGCAGGCAGAGAGATATTAATTTTCACAAAACTAGACATAATAAACGGCATTTATTCTATGGCACGCCCGAGGTTAAGAATGAAGTACGGTCTCTTTTGGCGTCAGTGATGTCAAACATGGTGCTTTTCTGCAGTATTGTATGAATAGACAGTTAGGCGCACGATGGTTGCGAAAAATCACGCAACGGGACAGAGCGCTAGTTAAGCACTAAAATAGTTTGTCTCGAACCTTTCTAATTTTATGAAAGGGTATTTTCTTCCCTTTCCTCAGATCTAAAACTATTCTCATGACACTCCGATACACGCAAAACGTTTCTGTTAAGCTTCTCGCGTCCTTTGTGCTTCGATGTGTCATAAGCAATCAGGAAGAAATATTAATTTTAAAGTGCACCACTATTTCAATACAATATCCTAAATTCAAGCCAACTATATGCAGCAGCAAAAAAGCCACGGCTCTTATTTTCTTTTTAACAGTAGAAAATTAAGTTTCTATTACCGAACAAAATATTTTAAATTCCTTTGACAACAAAAATAATTAAGCCCGCGGGAACAAACTGATTTGATTTACGAGAAACCGAGCTGCCAATCGTCTTCCAGTAGGCATTGAGTACATATCTCGTTCGAAAATATAATTATAGTTAAATAGTTATAAATATGAATAAAAATTTATTTTTCCCACTATAAAACACTGTATCACCCTTGCACTTTACGGTTAGTAGATCATACACTCTAAATTAAGTTAGAAAAAAATATTAATTTAAAAGATTGTAAATTAATAAATGTAAAACCTAAAAACAAAAATGAAGAAAAGTAAACAAAATTACATTTAACTTTGGAGTGATTAAAACAATAAATCTGAAAAACACAACCAAACACAGGCGAACAAATACAGAATCGGAACGCGAATTTTCTGAGCACAGTATGATACGCCAACTGAAGCACGTGGCACCGCAGCTCTAGATAACAGCCTAACGCCCTACTTACAAAAATTAATAAGTTCCAAAGATATTCCGTATGATTTGTGGCAAATATATCATGTATTCGAGATATTAATATAATTGATAAGAACAATTATGTTAATTAGTATTTAAAACAGTTTTGAAATCTTAAAAACCGAGGGATGTTTATTTACTGAAAAACCTCAAAAGGCACTCTACTTCATTCTTATCGTTGGACGCACTATAACTAAATGGGTGCAAAAAAAGATATGTAAATAATGAAGAATCACGATTAAAAGGGATTATGGAAAAATAAATAAAACCATTGATATTTTTGGTGTAGGAAATCCGAGGCCTCAGTTGAGCTACGTCAGAAAGTCAGTCACCCCTCACACGGTGGCCGCTCAAAAAATAGTGCCTTATGCATCATCTGATGGCGCACAAGAATGTTTACGGAAAAGCTTAAAGAAAACGTAATTCATTTCCAAGAAATGGTGTACACTTTCCTTGCCAGCACTGAACCAGAGAGTATATATATATATATATATACATATATATATATATATATATATATATATATATATATATATGTGTGTGTGTGTGTGTGTGTGTGTGTGCGCGTGTGTGCGTGTGCGTGTGTGTGTGTGTGTGTGTGTGTGTACTGAACCGTGATCGGGCGCACTTCATAGGGCCGGTTTCACCACCAGGAATCAAAAAGATGATCCCGAGTTGATCGGGATTAACTTCAGTTTGATCCCGTTGTACGTTTCTCCACGCACTTAACACGAATCAACATGTCTGACTCGGATCAAATTTGACTCGCAATTGATCCGTCGCGAGCGGTGGATCACGGCCAGATCAGGAGTTATTTCTCGTCTTGGTCGTCTAGCTATTCCAGTTTTCCGTGTTTTTTAAGTAAACACCTGTAGTTGGACTTAGATTCGGTATGGAAGTATTTCCGTTAAAGAAGTAGGATTACGCGTTAATATTTTGTTGATCAAACGTGGTTTTAAGATAGGATTTGTAAATAAAAAAGTAGGGTTAACTCAATTGAAAGGTTAGGAATTCTCGGTATTGGGAAGTAAAATTTAAATATATTTGGCTTCAGATTAGTGTAAATTATAAGTAGCATTAGTAAAAAAGCATTTTGTGGTATCTGTTTCCAATTGACGGGGGACAGTTTATTGAATACTTTTTTTTAGTGTAGTAATACTTTCAATTTTTTGTTCTTGTTAGGGTAATTTGTGTCGTGGAAAATAGAGTATGTTTTTCGAATGTGACTCAATAAATATTATTATTATTAATGAAGTCATTGAAGATTTAATGCGGGGAGAGGACACACGATAAATTCCCAAAAGAAGCGATTATTTTGAAATGTGAGAACGAGCATTAAAACTTTTCTTTGTATTTACTCATTAAGCGTTTCGAGTATTCTCATTTAACTGGAGAGAAATTGGGCGTAGTCTAATGCATTATTTCCAACGTCAGGTGAATTCAATCAACCGAACAAGGAACACCCACAGACGGAACGAAATGAAATCAAAACAACTCGTTTTCTACGCTGACCGCGAGAATACCCAAATGCATTGCAAAATTGTTGCCAACCGCGCATTTTCAAGACTGCTCACGATCATGGGATCGCGGATTAACTTCGAGAGTCTCAAAATGTTTGGTGAAACGCACAGGGATAACAGGACAGGTAATATACTTCTCTGGATCAGGATCACGAAACTCGGATCAACTACGAATTTGATCCTGGTTGGTGAAACCGGCCCATAGTGTTCGGCGGTTCACGCCGGGGGCGGTGGCAGAGGCGGAGGCGAGGGCGTTGTCTAGGGTGGATGAGTGGTGGAAAATCGCCTTCACCCAGTTTTCCCCCACTCTCGCTTCCCAACTAATTCCCTTTCACTTTTCGTTACCTGCGAAGGCGTAGCTGGACCGCATCCCGTGTTTCCGAAGGAGTGAACATTACAGTTCAGTTTGCATTTACATTGTTCTCGCAGCTGTCTAGAGCAAAAACTCGACCCCCGGTGAACATGGCAGAATCTTTGGTATTGTGTACGCTACGCCAGCGAGATATGAAGATGCTTGTGATAAGTGATTTCATGTTTTGTTCCCACAAACTTTTAAGCGGCGGTTTTCAACTTTGGCAATGCTCTAAAAGGACATGCAAATGTTTCTTGAAAATGTTAATCTGTGGTTAAATTATAATCTATCAATGTGATTGTAAGTAGGCCACGGGAAACGTAGGAATCAGTCCTCATACGAAGGAAGACCTCGGGAGGGTATGGAGCCGGGCGGTGCGTTTTCGAGCAGGGAGGTAATCGGTGTGGGAGAGGTTGCCCGCGGATGGAGTCTGGTTAGGCCAGTAGTGAATGCGCGCGTTGGGCGCGCGTTGAGCGCGCGTTGTGCGCGCGTTGGGCGTGAGTAAGGCGGGGAGGGCGGACGGCGTCAATTGTAATCACTATTCCCGTTATTTTAAGACATTATTTTTGAAAGCTGCATCACCATGCAATATAACAGCACAGCGGTATATGAGTTTATTAGCCATAACCAGGGGTCGGATTCTGATGACCTAAAAAATATTTGAAAATTACCTATAAAATGACATAAAATAAGAGGAAATGGCCTTATTTGTTAAAAATGCTTAAAAATGTGTAAATATTTATTTATTCAATGAATTTTATGATAATATTTATTATAAAATGTACTTACATATACAATTATATTTCATACAAAGTCTTTATTTTAAGAGAAAGTGAAGTCGTTAGCTCCGACAGTGAGATAAGAAGATGCTTGTGATAAGTGATTTCATGTTTTGTTCCCACAAACTTTTAAGCTGCGGTTTTCAACTTTGGCAATGCTCTAAAAGGAACTTTCAACATCAGTTATGAAAGGTCGAGGACGTTATCAAAGATACAAGTAATTTTGAGACTTAGAAAAAGAGTCCATCGCAGCAGTGAATTTTGGCATGAAATGATGATACAATAGAAATTTTATTTTAGCTCGTCATTGTAAACTCATGAAGCATTCACCCAAAATATTTAAAAAAAAAGAGGAAACTAAACATTTAAAAATGACAAAAATGGCGCAAAAGTCCAGAGAAATGACGTAACAATTGAAAAATTGCCGAAGTGACCCAATAACTCTACATTTCTATCTCCTATATATCATGATAAAATTCATTTATAAGTTAGCTTCGTCTAGAATACACCAATGAAAAGATGTCATGTCATCAAATCCGCGCCCTGACCATAACTTATTAATAAAGACAGAATAACCAAATAAAACCCAAGTTTATCATGTGTGTCTTCTTCATATGTGATTTAATTAAATGCGAAATAAAACAAGTAAGCGATGTTAAATAATTAGTGACTTGCAGCAGCAAAAATACTGCTAAACAAAGCAGCATAAAATATTTTACCAGCACAAAAATAGCAAATACTTATGGTGGCAACTTCTTCCTTGGAGCCTTGCTGTCGCATGTCGTACGCTGCATTGTAGGTAATAACGCACTGTGTTTTAATAATTCAGTCAGTAGGCGCAGTAAGAAAAAAATACGGAATACCACAACCAAATATTTGCATTCTTTTGTCAAAATCGAAAATGTGTTATTGTTTTAGAATGCTTTCTGAATATTCGGGTAGCTGACGAAAAACCACAGATCTATCTGTCATGGTTAAATGGTGTTCTTTCAAGTTTTGCGCGCACTGGAAATTAGTAAAATAGGATCTGACTTTAAATGCTTAACATGATAAATAAATAAATAAATAAATAAATAAATAAATAAATAAATAAATAAATAAATAAATAAATAAATATAGTGTTAAAAATGATCGTGTATATCCACATTTCTAAGTAGTTATTACTTCTGTGTAGTTTTAGTTAAGTTAATAGGTCACATTCCTTTATCGCTAAGAAAGTCTGAATTATCAGTTATCATTTAGGAGAAATTTGATTTGTGAAAATACTATTCCATAAACTGTATTGATCTATAGTCATGAAAATACTCGTTCACATACCCATTCAAAATTGTTTCCTGTGGTGCCGACGCCGAGCTTTTGGGTTCCCGCGTTAACCCCACTCCTGAGACACGGTGACGTCCCGCCGTCTCCCCACTCTACTCCACCCGTCGAAAGTCCTCTTTTTCGCCGGTAGATCGGACATCTGCAGTATACGATAATATACTGTTTCTGGTTGTATTTTTTTGTAAAAAAGTGTATAAAGTTTAAAGTTAATGTTTCCGATGTAATATAATTTAACTAATATGTGTAAATACATTTTATACCTATTAGTGTATAAATGTAATGTTTGTGCGGCTTTAAAATTGTGAATTCCGTAGGGTTTGTGTGTTACTAGGATAATAATTTAAATTTCATTCGCAATTTCGGTAGAATCGTACTTCACAGGATCATTTCTGTAGTACGTATTCTCGCTTCTAGGCCCTAAACCCAGAAGAACCGCATCCACGATGAGGATTAGAAGCACCTCTTCCTGAGCGTGAGGCTTATGGTAGTTTGGTGATTCACTGAGCTATCATTAACGATGATCGTTCACCTGAAGTCTTCTGACTGAAGGGATGGAAGAGGAGCATTCTGAGTGGCCCCTATTTCAAGAAATAGAAGCATAAGTGAATGAAGGATTTTATAGTATAAGGCGTAATACGAGTTATGTGCATAAATCATTTAACATTTAATGTGAATCATTACTTTAGGTAACTTTAGCTACTAATTTATTAAATTAATTATATATTACACACTGATTGAATACTAGTACCAATAAATTTTTATAAAATATGAAAATCCAGTATATTAAGAGTATCTACGATTACTACAAGTGTGCGATAAACGTGATTACACACATTTGACGCATAAGTCGTATTTGTCACCCTCGCCGCTTGCCCAGACGAAAGAAAATTGCGAAATGTTACAGTATTTTGTACTTGTTTCGCACACTTAAAATGAAAAAAAATATTGCTAATTTGCACGCGGAAAACAAGCACGAGGAATGGTGTACATAGCGTGTTAAAATACCTTTATATTTTTATCAGAACACAAGACCGCGGCTGAACCAAAACCGTCCCTCCCAAAAATCCTGGTGTGGCCATTATTCGTTACAAATAAAATAAATGCAGATGCCAACAGCGCATATTATCTTCGAGCAACTCTTAGTACAATAAAGCGAAACTGTAACTCAGAAACCCTCTCGCAAACCAACGCCTATGCGTCACATCCAGAGAACTGAAAATGCGAACCCACAATCGGCATTGTGTTGTAAATTTCGAGGTTTATGAAGCCTATTCACCATTATACGTTAATGTATGACGGGTTGCCGAAGTTTATATTCGGATATCAAATTATTTCTAAATGAATGTTTGTAGAAGCATTCTATTCGTGTTAGCAATAGCTGTCGCATCTTTTCTAAATGTTGATGTTTTATACATTTTAGAAGCAAGGGATAAGTCAAAGTAAGAATCAAGCTCATTTGACACTAGCGTGTGTGAGCTGGCATTGTACAGCGTTCGTTCTGACCAGAAAGCCTTCTGTGAAAAAGTCTGAAAAAATAAGCACTGAACCTGAACTTAAATTGAAGAGGACGTTTTAGTAATAATAATAATAATAATAATAATAATAATAATAATAATAATAATAATAATAATAATAATAAAAAGAACTATACCTTTGGAGAAGTGAATTTTTCGTAGCCATAAAGAACAGCGCAAATATCACGCCTAGCGAAATTATTTCGGAATAGCATGTTCGTTCCTATAGAAATCTATTCGATCTCATTTTCCCAGAAGTGATGGATGTCATTAGTTTCCTCCAACGAGATAAAAAAGGAAGAAAATATTTGAAGGCTAGTAGAAATACCCAATGATCTATATTAACAACTTCAATAACTCCACGTAAACATGTAAAATGATAATATTGAATTTTAATGTTTTCCTGCCTCTTCCCTGTCTGTAGTTAAGGGTTAATAGTCGATGCCTGATTGCGCAGATTACACCGATCTGGATGTGGTGATCGAGCATTTCCGCAAGCGATCTCCCGTTATGACCTACATCGATGGTCGAATCGCATTCGACCCTCCGGTGGAAGTCGTAGCGGATGCTATGAAGACAACGGGCGGAGCGACGACATCAATTCCTTCGTTCGCCATCGGATTTTTTGTCATTGTGGCGCTAGTTGTCAATACCGCGTCACGAAGTCTGTGAGTGTGCCGTAAGATGTCTCTTTCCTCATTCAGAGCGTTCCCCGCCGATGAGTTACTTTTTTGTCTCTCCCAGCCCGGCGTCTACAAAGGATGATAGTAGACCAAGAATTGCTAAGCGCATTTCAAGGAGAGTGCATTTTTTATAATTGAATAAGAGAATCAATTTTTTCTTTCCTTTTTGATTTTATACTATTTGTTGTGAATATGTCAACTATAAGAGTAAAATTAAATCATTTTTAGTTAGTAAGGAATCATTTCACCTACAAACCAAGCAGTTGTCAATGAAATCAAAGTTTGTGATTGATTTAGTGAAAGCTTATCAAAATTTTATTTCTATTTAAATAATTTTAGTGTTTTTATTAGGTACATTTTCTTGTAAATGACGAATTTTAAAGAAAGGATTGTATTGTATTATTTTTATATCGAAAACCAAAATGATTTTATTTTAGAAAAAGGACTATAATTCTTGTATTATAAATAGGTTTTCTTATTATTGAATTTTTTTAAAGTAATGACTGTCAGGAAGTTCGGCATTTAATGAAGTATTAATGAATCCATTCCTCATATCCCTTCGTATGTTTATGCTTTCAATATTTTTGTTTTCTTTCTTTCAAATTCTAAGATTTCATTTTTAATTGACAGTTACATGTGCAGAAAACATGTTGATATTTTCTTCTTCTCTTCTTTTTTTTCCAGTCTAAGGGATTTTTTTTTTTTCATTGAATAATTTCATTTTTTTTTTTTTCTTGGCAATTTTTTGAAATGTTTAAAATTTACTTAGCATTGACCAAAATAAACTGAAACTTCCTCATATTTGTAAAGTGGGAATGAAATAGAAGTTTCAAGTTCTTGAAAGTATTTGAAACATATAGAAAAGAAAATGTATTACTTTGATTGACATTTGATAAGCAATTTCTTATATATTGGCTAGACCATGTGGGGAAAATATATACTTTTTTTTAGTTTTCCACAATTATTTCTTTAGTCATTTTTAGAAAATTATTTTATATTACTAAAATAACTTTATTGCCTAATCTTCTTTTGATTATGAGTAAAAAAAATAATGGTTTTAGTTTTTAAGAGAAAGGTAGATTTGATAGAGGGATTTAATATTTCATTTTAGGAGGAACACTGCATTTTTTTATTTTAGTTCTTATACATAGAGCATATTTCCTAACCTGAAATTGAGTACTGGTACCTATTATTTTTTTAATATGAGTTTTGGAGTAGCCTACAATTAATGTGGTACTGAAGAAGTTTGATTTAAGTATATAAATGTAGAATAAATGTATGGCTTGGTTGCTGGAAGTAGTGAGTATGTTGTGCTATGAAATATTTTCTGTGGAAGTCTCTTTTACTTTTTAAATTTGAATAACATTCTTTGATATGTTTTAATGTTTTATAACAAAGTTCTGGATTCCAAGGGCAAATATTGATGAAAACATTTTCAAAAGTAAGTGAAACACTAGCTAAAGAACTTACATATATATGATATTGTGTCTATTGTCCTTGCTGCAGTACATTATTAACATGCACTACAAAATTGGTTGTTATTACAATATTTTCAAGTTCTAGAACTGAATTGAAAATGGATAATTAATAGTTTGCGTGTTGATTAACGAAGAGAATACTGTATGATAAATATCACTGCTGACCAGATTTTTCAACAATTTTAAGTTCATGCATTTGTGCATGCAAAATAATTATATTTGCATTCATTTTGATATCTTGGTTCTATTAGGAATTTCCTCAGAGCTTTAAGTGTTTGAGTGAAACCTTATTGCTGAATTTAATAAAAAAGATAATTTGTTTTCATTAATTGAAAAGTTTAGTGGGTTGTTTTCAATACCAGTATGCTTTGTTGGTTGGTTAAGAAACTAAGAATATATTATTACTTGTAATAGTAATTAGATTCATTAGCCCTACATCTTACCTTACAAAAAGCAAAAATTACAAGTAATTAAAAAAAGAAAAACATCAACTGAAATGTCTAGTCAGAAATAAAAAGAAAATATCTTTAAGATATCTGCTAAATGAAATGGAAATCTATTTCTTGAATAGTTCAAACTTTCTCTGCATTTGATGTAATATTCTCATATTTAAAATGAAAATGGACAAAACTTCATTGAAGTTTCACTTTTTTTCTAAACAAGATCATCCTGTCACATCAAAAAACTTTCACAATGCCTTTAAAACCTTTATAATAAGCATATATGATTTTCAAATAGGTTAATTTCGTTGGTTTATGTACTTAACTTTAAAATTAAAAATGATTAAACAAACAAGGGACCAATATGTTATACAGTCAAGCAAAAAGATTTATTGATGAAAAAGTGAGCATAAGAGTTTCAAACATTACATTATTGTGAACAAGTGTGCAGTTGACTTTTACATTTGATTCCAATTTATCAATTTAAATATGAAGCTCTGTAATTTATCTAAGTATATTTTTTTCACAAATCAAATATTTTATCTCACTGCTTTTCCCTGAATCAAAACCAAAACTCTGATTTGAGACCATATATTGAAACTAGGAATGAATTAATTCATATTCAAAACAAAAGTGACAAGTGACTCGAAACAAAAATTATTAACAATAACACTCTGAAAAACAATATTTTCTGAATTTTTCAAACCAAGGCATGGAATTACAAGACATTTAAAAAATAAAAGTGTTGATTTCATTTATTTTTGTAAAAATAAAAAATGTCTGTACACCAATATAAACTAAATTAATCTCAGTTAAACAAATCTCTTATTTTTGGGAATCAATTGTATTGTCAACTGCCTCACCTCACCAGAATCCAGTGACAATTTTTACTTTATATTAATCACATGTCTCAGCTGTCTTGAAGATTAATATTGCAGCATAGGCACCTTTAATAAATATATTCAAATGGCAGAGTGTCTGTTTTGAGTGTTCTCAAAAGTAATGAACTTCACCCAGAGAAAAAATAATCCACATTTTATTAAACAATCAATTATTTTTTGGAAATGGGATATGACTTTTAGGGGGCACCATTGACAAAACAGTTTTTATCACTGTATCACAGTGCACATTATTTTGTTACTGTATATATAAAATATAACAGCAAAGAATTTTATTTACTCAGAACTAAATTTTTGCTGAATAATACATATGTGCCCAATGTATTGATCATCTTGCGATTTTAATAATCACCTTTAATAACGAATAAACTCCTTGTTCTTGCAGTAATGTGCTACTATTTAATATCAAATTATTCTCTTTCTAGATTGAAATAAGAGTAGTTTATACTCTACATTAAAATGTAATTTCTTATATTTACTGAACTCAAAAGGTGCTATACTTAGTATACTGCAATACTGACAGAAAATGGCAATGGGTGCAAGTCATTTTTTATGTTCTTATACAAAAAAAAAAAAAAAAAAAAAAAAGTACAAGAATCAACAAGAATAATAAAGTGAAACATTCTTTGGACGGATAACGTAATGTTCACATTACCATTGTAGAGGCCTGTACCCTGTTGATGAGTTGGTGAAATACAATGTCAAGTTGTTTTATCATTATGAATTTATAGAGACAACACTTGAAAACATACACACTCTGTCATGATGAAGAGTCATCATTGTTACTTTAAGCAACTGATGTATTGCACAAAAAATAAAATATATAATACAATTAACATTTTCATAGGAACGAAGTTTACACAACAATCCATAGATAAATTGAATTCTTAATTTAAGTACAAAATTAAGTAAAAAAGAGCTTTCATTGGTCTCTGTTAGAAAACCTGCAAAATATTTGTTTGCATGAAGAAATCACCATGTTATATATAGAAGTATAAATGTAAATTATGAATAGTAAAAATCTACTGGCATTGGTAATTAAAAATAAAATATTTTTATGCCTTAAATACAAAATTAAATTGGCATAATAAAATTTTATTATTGATTTGTGTTATGAATACAAATATTTATTTACAGTATGTTTCTATTCACTCAATATGCTTGTACAAGATTTTCAAGTGCTTAAAAAATATTACTGAAACACAGTGATTTCTTCCAACATTATTTTTATAAGGTAGAAACTATGTAGACTAGCACATAGACTATTGGCTTTAAATGAATAAACTTGTAAGGCACACAGTTTAATTTCCAAGAAGAGCAAACATTATTATCCTTTTCCATGTAAGTTTAAGCTGAGCAATATTTTATACTTTGAGAAGCAATATCAAGAAAGTTTTCATGAAGCTCAAAACTGGATTCTCTAACTCCAAGCAACTAATTAAAGCATTTTTAAAGAAATCATTTCAAATTTACCATCCACTTTGTAATTTTTGAGAAAATAACACAGCATTTTTTTTTTCTGTTTAGAACACTATTTACCCTATGAACTTGAATGTTTTATTCATGCAAAAGAAATTACTGGAAACATTCATTCCTAATAATAATTTAAAGGTATGCTTCAATTAAATCAAATAAATCAACTTCAAACAGTTCAATCAATGCAAATCATCTTCATGATTTGTTTGAAATAAGTGAATGGTAATATTTGAAATGTTTGAGATTTCTTCACTATAAGAAATTAATTAGATCTATTGCTCCTGTAACTACAAAAACTTATATTATTTCATCTTATTTCATATTTTTGTTTACAGAAGATACCTGCTACATTCTCTACATCATCATTTCTATTCACTTTATATTTTAATTTACACTTTCACCAAATCTACATCCAAATAAAATGGAAACATTCACATAACAACGTTTAACAACAATTAAAATGGGTGAGAATTCTTAGTTCTTGGAAAGAGTATTGAGGACAGTTATTACTTTGAAATATTTTCTTTGCTATAGAGATAGTTCAACAATAAAACTATAGTCTATATAACACAGATATTTGCATATATCTTTTGTGTTTCAATCTTCACAAGAAATTAAATTGCATTATCTTTTAAAAAGTACAAACATATGCAGTTTGTTATTGGACAAGATAATTTCCCATTTAAAGCTGAAGTTGTCTGCCAAGAAGCTATTTTTATTTTACCCGAGTAATTTCGATTCAGATATAAATATATTTTCAGTTTCATAATTTCAGTCTTGAAAACTCAAACAACCTTATTATTGTTGTTGATTTAGTATGTATTCTAGTTCTTCTCCTAAACACAAACCAAATCCAAAACAAAACAAAACAAAACAAAAAATTAATTAGGCTTTTTTTCTTAGAAGTAGAACTATTCATAAATAGTACATTCAAATAGTAGGTGGATAGAAAAATGTAATGTCATACACTACTTATTATTTAATAGAGCATATAAATGTACAGGGTTTAAGAAAACAGGAAGATTGGCACTTTATCTCAGCAATAGTGCATTAGTTTTAAGAGAGAATATTCATACTCGGAAGAAATTCAGAATTGACTATTAATAAGATGACATATTTTCTGTTTTCAAAATTTGCAATGTATTGTATCACTAAAAACACTAATATTTGAAAATGAGTTAAAAGATCATATACATTGTTATGATCTACTTCATATTGTCTACATTAAGTTGATTATCAGTGTGATTTGTTAAGGATTCTATAGGTCAGGACCTGGAGTGTTTACTTACAGAAATATATTATGCATTATATAATTTGTTTAGTGAAAGGAACATCAAAGATTTTATAGTAACTTTTGCGGAGTTACACTGAATGATAGTCTTCATAACTGTAGATGGAAAAACGCTTTTTAAATCTTTATAGCACTGTTTTAAGAACAGTAGTGATTAAAGAAATAAAGATAATATAAGGAAAATGGAACAAAGCACTTATAATGACATGATCAAATGGAAGTAGGAAATGTTTTAACAAGTCACATCTCTGGTCCAAATACAAACAAAGTTCAATACCCAGTAAAATATTTCCTTAAATACTTTTCTTCCAGGCAGGTTCAAGAATCTTAATAATAATAATTCAGAAACTAATTCCAACCTCCTGACGCATTTCAAACTTAGTTCACACATTTTTATTCATACAATCCTTTGTCAGGCACAATACTTTTTGTACCATGGTCAGGCACTGGTTAGAGCATAGACCTACTGCATTAGTTGTAACATTATGATATGCATTTGATTTTATTATGCTTAAGAGTTTAATTACTTTTATTTACTTATTAGTATAAAATGTAAATCCACTGAAAAGCACAATACATTTGACCAGCCCAGACCCTTAAATGATAAATGCATCAGTAAATTTTAGATAGAATCACATAATTGCTAGTCTAAATGTTGCCACTTCCAAAATATATTTGGAAATGTATTTGGAGTTAACTCCCAAATATATTGCAACTGGCCATGAGTTAATTTAATTAACAATGTCATTATTTTATGACTTGGTCTTTAGTACGTAGTTTTAATCAGTGATGTTCATATGATGAAACAACAGCAAAATGATGACTATTGGCACAATAGGATGGTTCACCACAATCCGCAACAATAGATGCAAGAGCACTTTGGCAGCAAACTACAAAATCTATTTGAGTATGTTTGGAATATTAACACGAGACAAAACACACTGAAACCATCTTATTTTTCATTACATTTTCATTCTCTAAGATCCTTATAAGGCCTTTCAATATTAAAAATTGTACTTAAGTAAAAGCATATCTTGTAATGTGGCAAAAAATCAATATTTCTGAAATTTATTTATTTATTTCATTGATTTATTTTATTAGCATTAACAATTATTTAATTAATTTACATAATATTTACCTTACAATTTTTCAAGTTATTTAGTATTAATATTTTCAACATACCACCTTCAGTTGTTTTATTAACATGCATTATGTTTGATTTTCATTGTACATCAATTACATTGGTCAAGTCATATTTTTTCTTCAGGAAGAAATTTTGATTTACTTGCCACAAACAAAAAGCATGTAATTACACATATTATATTTTATTATATTTTTTTAAGGATTGTGTAGTGTTCTTAGTAACTTTTGTTACAAAGCATATCAAGCAGAAAACTGACTACAAAAGATGCATATTGGAGTAATTAGTATTAAGTTGTTTTTTAAACGAATTATTTTAAATATATGTAATATTTGTATCATTTCATTTACAATATATAATTTACTAAATATTAGAGGAATACCAACTTAAATAAATAACTTTTATAGCTTGACAAACTAGAAAAAAAATCTGCACTCATGCTTCATGCAACAAGGGGTCTCGTTGCCTTAATGTGCCTCGTACAACTTCTCTTTGCAGTAGTAATGAATGCCAGATGAACTGCATTATCATATCAGGTACTTGGGTACTCAAGAGCAGTGATCAGCAATCTTTTAGATATTGTGAATCATTAAATTCATGATTTAAAATTTCGCAGACCACTAACATAATTGTTAAAAGAAAGTATTAAAAATGCAATTTTCCATAGAATCAAGTTTCATATTAAGTTTACAATACTTTTTTAAAATTATATTTTATTGAAAATAAAAAAGTGTCTTGGCTCTCAATTATTTTTAACTTTTATTAAAATTTCTAGAAAAAATATGGTACACTTGTTCTTTGCTGACTGTTAAAATTTATCATGTACTACCAGTGACCCGTGGACCACCGGTTGCTGACCACTGCTCTTGGGACATCAAACAACCAGAATACAAGTCACACAGAACTTGCGACCTCAAACTTTAGGATCACACCACAACTAACAACGATGAATGAAATGTCACACACTTACAATTATTATCTCAAACTCTTAAAAAATCATGTGAATGGACATTTCCAGGTAAAACGTGTGAGAGGCAATAACTTTTGAACACCCTTTTATGAGATACATAGGCATGCGCAGGGGAGGAAGGGGGCATGATGTTTCCCTAAAAGTTTTTAAAGTAGTCCCATAACCTTACTTAATAATTAATAAAACATTTTATTTGCAAAAATATGTGTTAATTTCCTGATTTCCACCATTTTTTCACCTGACAAATTAGGGAATTTTTGTGAGAGTTTGGGGAAAGGGCTCTCCCAGCCAAGTGGCAACACTATGAAAGGTTCAACATGAAATGAATTGAATTTATTAACTGTATCATTTGAGTTACAATTACATTCTCCTTGTAGTAAGTTTTATTTATTTTCTTACTAGTAAAATCTATCATATTGCTTGTAGGCTGCAATAGTGTCACAACTCAAAGAATAAGAATTTTGAGTTGAAGCACTCTCCAGAATTGCAAATTGGTCTACCTTCCTGCAGCACATCTTACAGTACAGTATTCCACCAACAAATTGCAGAAATGTGAATGCAAGAATGATACATTTCAATTCAAGGTGAAAACTTGAAACTCAATTATCTCAACACCTATTTGTGCTACTATTGCAGCCCACAAATGATATATAAATAAAAAAATTAATGAAAAAGTCTCAGAAATATAGTAGGCCCCCTTCTTGTTTTAGGCTGCGCACACCTATGATAAGGCATTTTCCTCACTGCATATTCTTTGTAAACTGGGATGAATAAAAGCAAAGAATGTTGGGTATTAGCGGAAGCAAAAGTGTGCCTCTCTACAAATCCATACCTGCACAAACCAGAGATATATTAACTTGCCAAAAAATAGAACAATTATTTGAATATTAACAGTAGATTCATATTCGCACATGCGTCTATAAATACATATTTGAAAATATTTCAACTAGAATAAAAAAAATACAATAATACATGTAAAATAAAAATTCTTTAGATTTCACAGAACTACATGGAGATCTTGAATATTGCACTTCAGAACCAAGGACAAAAATACTTCATTATGTAATAACTTTAGATTGTGTATTAAAATTATATTGCACTGTAACAGCTTGCAATAATTCAATTCCATAACTCCAGTAAGGGTAAAATATATAACATCATTTTCTGTTCAAAATAACTTATCATTTTCTAAGATTATTTAACTTAAAGTTAATTTTATATAAAATTCAATTCCAAAAAGCATTAATTCTCATTTTTTACCTTCATATACCCTAACACTCTTCAAAACCAATGCATGAAGCTAGATACCAAAACATATTATACACGAGGATTTTCTTTAAAATCAAGAAACTTGAGATTGAAAATACTGTTTAAAAAATGTCATAAATTTATAACACTTTAAAAAAAAACAACACTGAATCATATTCTTTCATCTAAATTTTTCTACTGAACTTTTAAAAATAAAAAATGTAAACATATATTTGCATTTTGCTCTCTCTTTGCACTCTGGTTATTATGTTACATAATTTACACATAAGGTTAACTATCCTTGTAAATTGTGAAATTATGGCCAAGCTTAGGCAAGAAAAAATATCCACAGTTTTCAGCTATTCAGTATTCAAAGCCCAGATATGAATTTGTTAATGAGTACAGAAAACATATTTGAATTAGTTTAATATAGCAATTCACTCAACGGTAATAGTAATTGCCTTGCAGATTGAAGCATTGTTTCAGTGTCTCCTGACAGTCACTGTACTCCTTCCAAGGCCTCTTCACTCTTGAATCCAGCAATTCCAAGTGTTCTACAAGTGGTGTTGCATCTGTTAGCTCATTTCCTTCTAGCAGTTTTGTCAAGAGCTGCAAGAAATTCTTTGAAGAAGAGAGAAGCTTCTGTTGCAATACCAACAGATCAGTTTTCTCCCCACACAATGAGCAAATAACGGAAGTTGCATTTTCCTCACAGAGCAGTTGACTGCAACATTTCACACACAGGTATCGAGGTGAAGTAGATGGCAGGTTGGAATAGCAGGGCCAATCTTTTAGGCAGGGTTCGCAGCTGCAGGAGAAATGGTATTGGCTCTGCAGGTGAGCCTGGCGCACAGACCGAGGATGAAGTGCATAGTGCTGGCCATAGTTGTCTAGCAACTGCAAACAAATTGCAACTTTTGAAGATTAATTCACATTAAGAAATGAAGAGATTCAAAAAAATGTAAAAGCCAAAAACATTGTTTTACATATTGAAAAATATCAAGGAAAGAACATAAATGTGAAGAAAAAAGGAATGAAATGGATTGTTTCCCAAGAAAAGTAATTAAATACAAGACAAAGGGAGGAAGACTCTCATGCAGACCAAGATCATCTTGGAAGTCTCTACAGGAAAACTTGAAAAATTAAAAGGAACAGGCCAAAAGGCCTTAACCTTGTGTGTGCATGATGATGATGATTGTTGGAGATCCAGGGCAGCAAGGAGCAAGGGTTGCAAGGAAAAATCTCGATACAGTGGTCAAGGATCTCAGGTTTCAATTGAATTGCTTGGATGCGACGGAATGGTACTGCATAAATAACACCAACTACGTTGATGATTATTTAAGGTTAATAACTTTAATGGCATTGTTCAATAAAAGGGAAAAAAAGAGTTTCAATTATGTAAATATTTAAGGCCTTCCATGTTCTTTACCACAAGTGATTTTAAAAGAATGTTAAATATAACATGAACAGGGACAATGACTTTACATTTACATTCGGTATTAGAAGACATGGAACTATTCTGATACATTAAGAGACTGAGAAAACTCAGAAAAACAACACCATAAAAAACTGTCAAGGTGGTAACTTTACTTATCTAAAAAGCACAATGAGTTAAAAAAAACATTAAAAAAGAAAGAAAGAAAAAAAGAAGTGATTTCTCATAGCAGTATTCAGAGGACAGGGCTTCAAGAATGTTTACCATCAATTGTTATGTATTTTGATGAGTGGACTGCTACAATATTTTTGCACTACCTCTAGTAAAAAAAGGTATACACTGTCAGTCAAAAGTTTTTGGACACCAATTAATTTTATTTTTTTTTCACAGTGTTGTATTTGCCCTTGATAGTGCAACTCAAACTCAGGGCACTGAAGTAGCTTTGTCCCAATTTATCTTATGTAGATAAACATCCTTAGGGATCCTTCTATCCCCACTGAAGAGTATTCATTGATGCAAAGTGTTAGGTGGCTGAGAAAGTCACCTAACAGGTTGCTATCATGTGCTATGGAGGTTAAACTATAAGAACACCATGGTTTCTGGTTCATATTGGTTTTGAATTGAAAAATACCTCAAACAGGTTTTGTAAAATAATTTATTGAAGCTATTGTTCGTGTGAAACTCATGAATATGATGCCAAGAATCATCAAGAAAGTTATTCCAGCAAGGGGTGGTTTTCATGAAAAGACAATTTAACATATTTATTTTTTACAGTTAAAAAGTTTCAGTTTATTGTAAACATATGTATTTTTTGCATAAGATATGTGCATAATATAATAGTCAATGACCACAGTGTGTGAGTGTATTATTACTCACTCACTCTGTTTTTGTCACAAATTTGAAATTATTAGTAGCATCCAAAACTCTTGACCAGAAGTGTATGTCAATAGAATGCAACCAAAATAATTCCCCACCTGCTCACCGCATCGCACGGGACGTAAAGCTCTGAGGACTACACAGTCCCCAGCAACGCTGTGACGAACAACTCCTGGGTCACATCCATGGTTAAGAAGACTCAGAGTTGCATAGGCTGCAGCACCTATTTCAATACTCTCAGCTACATGATGTCCCTCTGTAGACTGCATCCGCACATATTCTGTTACTTCGTGTGCATTACATGGAAGATTTTGCAAGTGGCGGAGTAATACACCACCAACTGCTGCACTAGCTGTCCCATTGTCACCTCCCTGAAGCAAAAATTTTAAGTTCATAATAGCACATAAGATACTCTCTGACAGACCCCTCATATGTACAGTTCTGAATTTGAGAGAATCTTGTTTAAGTGATGTCTCTTTTAATAAACAGTAGCTAACACTTCAATTATGAATGAATATGAATGAGTGGATAGCACGAATATAATATTTGGCGTTTGCTTAACTCCGTTATAGAAATAGGAAGTGCACAATTAAATGAAAATTTTTAATTTTAGAATTTATTAAGTCAATTCACTTAATGATCTGTTAAGATTTTCCAATTTATCCTTTTGACACTTTTCTGCAAGAGAAATACAAATAAAATGTCCAGAGATTTTCATTTATAGCATACAATCTGCACTAAGAATGTTAGGTATTTTTGGTAACTAACCCACAATTATCATGTGATAATCATTTTAAAATATAATGTAAACATTTATTTTGTGGAAGATTGTTTAAATATGTAACAGAAACTTATTTGGCTTGTATGGTTAGGGATCACAAGAATATGCAAAAGGACACTAAGTAATACAAGCTTGTGATCTATCACTGTACCAGTTAATAACTTAATTAAATTATTGCATTCTTACATGAGTTTGAAAAAAGCTAGACATTCTTTGGAGACAGTCCAATACACATGCTGCAGTGACTGCTCGACGGAAGAGATCACCAGCCGTTCTTGTTTCAGTATTCCCAACAAGATGATATATGGGTCCATAAGCATCAGAGTAATATAAGCCATTGGCATCAAACCCCAAGGTTGCCTTGTTAGCAGACGCTTCCTCTCGCGCCAATGCTTCCAGCTGCTGCAGAAATGTAGGTAGACTATTCCCGCAGCAACTAGCAATCAGAACGATTCTCAGAGACAGGAGGCTAAACTTCCCAGCATCCAACTGCTCCAACGCTGGTAGCACAGAGCACTCCACTTGGTGACTTAGTTCCCATGCACGAGCACGACACTGCGGGCTGCAGTACACCACCTTATGGGACCAGAATGGGAACAAAACAAAATGAAAGAGTGAAAATAACAATTAAGCCTTTGAGTGAGACAATTTCTTAAATAGCGTATGATACAGTGGTTTTATTTTAATAAGTTAATGTAATTTTGAATGTATCAAACCATCATACATAACTTAATTTGTAAACTCATTTTTATGTGTAAATTCTACAGTATTTACAATTTTCTGTGCCCTATATTTGTTAAATTTCATTTAATATATATATATATATATATATATATATAATATATATATATTATATATATATATATATATATATATATATAGATAGATAGATAGATAGATAGATAGATAATTATTCCGTATATATCAGATATATACATATATATATAGATATATGAAAAGTTTCATGATACACCATTTTAAACCAAAAGAAAGAAAAGGTGATAAGCATGCATTTTAGATACGAGCAGTTTTTTCTAAAGACACCTTTTTTATATAATGAAAAATATCTAGATATTGAATCTCTTAAACTGAAAACTGTTCATAAAACCAACAAAAGAACCTATCATGTAAGTGTGTGTGTGTGTGTATTTTGTTTTTCTTAACGAAAGGTATGATGAGGAGTAATAGACAAAATCTGTTCGTTTTTTCCTTCAGAAATAGTTTTTATTACACAGGAGCTAATATTTCCTTATCAATTTTTTGCCAAAAAAGCTCACTTTCACCTGAATTTGTAAATCAACTTGTGGGTGGGTTAGAGTAGGGATCCAAGAATTTAAGAAAACGTGCACAAAATACACTTCTACTTATAATATGTCTTACACAGTTTTTCATTGTTTTTTGACATTAAATATAAAACAAAACTGACAAAAAATATAATAAAATTATCATTCCACAGCCTTACAATATGTTTTTGTTTTCATTTGATTGAGGCTATCAGTGGTTCTATTAAAACTAAAGCATACACTACCGTTGTGCAGTGCAAACAAGGCACGGGTGACCAGCTATGCCTTAGACACAACGAGCAGTGCGAAGAGTGAAATTCAGGTAGCAGCACTGATGCATAGGGTCTCTCCACCAGAAGAATATCTCCTGCGTACATTTATTTTCATTAGGATATCTAGTAATTATAAAAAGCAATTATGGAGTGCTGTCAATTGAGACATTTGTTTAAAAAAATCTCCAGACAAAGTTGGTCAATAACAAAAGCCAAAGCTTGCTTATCACTTCTGTTCACACTATGGTTTAGTGTTTTGATTATGTTTCATAAATAAATTATGCCCTTAAATATGTTTAACTAGGTAAAGAAACAATTTGTTTTTTAATTTCTTTACTTTTTTGTATATTATCTTACCATTTTTTAATAAAACTTTGTTCTCTGAAATTATAGATTCAAATAATAGTTTTCTGATGAAGAGAACAAATTTGCCACATACAATGGCCTTTATTATTGTTGTTCTTTTAAAATAGGAGTTAATTTAAGAAGTATGTATTAGATTCCGTTAACTGCATGTGTGATATATTAGACTGAATTTTCTGTATTATAATTCTTGAGTGATTGCCTTAAGATTAATAAATAAAAATAAGGAAAGGAAAAAAAAATTATCTATTGAAGTTTATCACTTGCAAGAATATTTGTGGAATAGTAATATTCACAAAATAATTTGAAAGGAGCTCAACTTTTAATGATATTAAATATACATAGCATTAACCTATGATGGAATATAAAAATGTTATCGAAAACTAAGACACACAAGCAAATCAAATATAATGATTAACTATCATACACATTATAGTATGGTGCATTGATCTCAACTTCTATGACTGCCGGAAGCATCATATAATATGCTCAAGCCAAAAAATTATTGAATTAAGAAGGAATTTGAATTCAACACTCATTACACATGACCACATAGAAACATAACTTAATAAATATTTAAATCAAACATAGAAACATAAATATACAATAGCTACTACAACCCTCCAAAAATCTATTTAACTCTGTGTCTTGAGGTATTCAAAATCTGTCAATTAGGGCTTGAGAAATGAGTCACAATATTTTTCAGATATGTAACACTTCTTTAAAATAACTTCAAACTGGATAATAATAGATATTGTGTACTGCAAGTCAAGGGTGCCTAGGCTGCCTCAAAAATACTTACAGCTCATCAGGTATAAAACGAGGTGAAAAAGAATAGGAAAGGGAAGGTCAACAGCAAAAGGAAGCCTGGAAAGAAAAGATGGAGAGGTACTGTAATAATTATTAAAATTCTTGTCCATTATTTTCTAGTCTATTACCAAAGAAAATTATTTTGTCCATTCATGAGATGAATAGTTTCTTGAAAAAAACTATTGCAGTTAATAATGCATTTATTTATATCTCTACAAAGCAATGTTTGGAGGCTCAAACTGCCCCATCATCAGGCTATACATTTTTTAAATACTATACATTCTATTTAAAACAGAATGTATAGTATTTACAAATTTCTATTAAAACAGAACATAAAGTATTTAAAATTTGTATGTGTTTTAAACAGAATATATAGTATTTACAAAATGTGTTGTTTCTAACCTGAAGATGGAGCAAATTGAGCTTCAAAATTTCACTTTGTAGAAATATAAATAAATGCATTATTAACTGCAATAGTTTTTTTCAAGAAACTGTTCATTTCATGAATGGCGAATATAATTTTCATTGATAAGACACAGTAATGGAATTGGGTGTACTTAAACAATTTTATCGGAAGTGATGTGAAGCAACAAGAAAAATTAATAAAAGAAATCTTATTTTTATATGACATCTTAATATGACGATAATGTTATTTGATGTATCTGATATATGCATTCACCATCTTATTTAATATATGCACAAATAACAGGAGAGCAACTATGGACTCAAGATAGAACTAAGAGTGTGCATATAAAGAGTGTTGGTTAGTTGTGTAAAAATTAAAGAAATTGGTACAAAAGGTACAATAAAATTTACAATCTGAAAAGGAACACAATGCATCTATACCCAATCAAATATTAATTTCTATTAGTGATATTTTTCTTTTTTAGTTAAGTAATGAAAATGCATGTGTATTTGAAGAAAGCCAACACAGAACAAATATAAATTTCACTCATTCTAGTTTCTTCAATTATGGACTAATATTCTGTGCCTTCTACAAACCAAACAGGCAGAGTGAAACAAACACTCAAAAAGAAATTTTAATTAGTACCGGGCCTCTGGAGAAAGTATTTACATCCCAAACAGAGTGAACTTAATATCTATCTCATCTGAGACAATTTCATTCAACTGATTTTTAATTTGGAACCTCAATTTTCAAAACATGAATGATTTTGTGAGATAACTTAACATGCATTTTTTTCACCTTGAAATCTCACCAAAGGGAAAGCGAAGAAAAATTATAATTTGAAAATAATATATTAGTAATAAAATTTGTTTTCAACTACCAGCACATTAATTTCATATTAGAGAACCCATTTAAACACTCTTAAAAATTACAGGAAATAAGTACCTCAATTCTGAATAGAACACTTTGATATATCAGCAAGGAAGTTAGCTCCTGAAAATGTTACAATCCATTCAATGAACTCACCTGGCCTTATGTTTTCTGCAGCTTCAACATATCGACCCATATCTGGATTGTAACAAATTTTCAATGCCAAACTAGCACAAGGAATTTGGGGATGCTGATCATATGTTTTTTCTGGAAGTTCATGGGACAAATCTGGAGAACTACTCTCTGGGAAATTTAATTTGATGGGTAGTTTTAGGAATTCTCTCAATTCCTTTTCAATCTGTAGTCTCTTCTCTTCTGACAAACCTTCTGCTAGAGAAAGACATTTTAAAGCCTCCTGAAACAATATATAATAATTCAATTAACATATTTTCAAAATAAACAAACCTACTATTTAAGAATACATATTAAATTAACTTCATACTTTGATGAATAGTGAAATGCCAAAGCTTTATGATGACATTTAAAAACAAATAAGGATATTTACCACAGAATACTTTTCTGCTTCAGTTAACCTGCCTAAAGCATAACAACATTTTGCCTTCCTTTCCAAGAGTTTGTACCTCAGTTTGGTAGGGTATTCATATTCAAAAGCTCGTTCTATATCCTTAAGACAGTCCTCAAACTTTTCTTTTGCAAAAAGGACAGCTGATCTATTGGCAAATCCAAGAGAGATGCTGTCTGTACTGTTACTTTCATTTAAATTAGATACAGGAGCACACATGATGCTCTGAGTATACAGCTTTAATGCTTCATTGTCATTCTTTCTTTGGAACAATTTGTTACCCTCATTCCTTAATCTTGTAGATTCTGATGCGTTTTTGGAACGGATCTTCAATTTCTGAAAGGATGGAAGAAGTTGCATGTCTGCAAGGAGATTGTAAACAACTGTTACCCTGTCATTATCATTGGTCATTTCAGAAAAGGATTTTGAAATTTTTTCCACTCTCCCCTGCGCTTTCAAAATATTGCACAAATTTTCATACATATTATCTACACTAATTGATCCCATGTTTTCACAGGTGTTGCACAGTATAGGTTATGAATAATAAAATGTTAATTCTTGAGATGGGCAGATGTTGTGAAATGTCATGGGTTTTTCTTTGAATATTCGAATGGAAGGATTCGGTTAACATAACACATCAAAAACTATGAATGAAATAAGTACATTCTTCTCCTACATGCTACAATAACAAACACGCCCACAATTGGGTCAGCTGCTACTACTACGTGATATGTTTTCTTTCTCTTTACGTGCCTCAGTTCGCGACAGCGCGAAAGACAAGTTTTGAGTGTCAAGAAGTCAATAGTGCTCATAAGAAAGTCATCATCTCATTATTTATATAATCGTTATGGACATTGAACTTCCTCGCTTTCGTATTCAAGCCCGACCAGGTGAAGCAAGGTGAAGTTTGTGACGTGTCCGACGTCTTCAGCGGCAGGACAACGGGTCTCTGGCAGCAATGACCAAGCATCACTGAAAAACCTTCTCTCATACATTCGAACGGTATTTACTAGACTTAGTGAAATATGGCAGAAACAAAAGGATCCAAGGTAAAATATTCATTAAAATGACGCAAATATTGATTCCTCTTAATTGGTATGCCTCATACGTGGAATTTTACTTTGTTTTTAAGGAGCCGCCGTCAACAAAACAAGTTGTTTGTAGAGCTCTGAGTAGAGTACTTCTTCAGGCATTTATTTGGATACATCAGGGGTTTGATTATATTGTCGATATTTTTTGCAACTGGTGGTACAATGAATCTAAACGTCAAATCGTCCCTCCTGTAAAGGACCCTCTTCTTTTGGAAAGTGCAGTGTCCTTAGCTGAGAAAATAAGGAAGAAAGAGGTTAGTTTTATTGGTAGATGTTATAGAAAGTTTGATGAATAATTAAAAACATGGTTATTTAATTATTAGTGGTGGCAACAACAAACTGTTGTTCACTTATCATGCAATTGTGCATTTAAGTTATTCCTACAATAATTCAGTTTGACAGAGGAAATTTTAAAATTTTGAATCGCAATTTAGATCATAGATTGTACTTGTGTATATGTGTATCTCTTTTACAACCTGATTTACAGTGAAGTGAGAACATTGTCCTATCCTTGTCCTTATTTTTCATCAACTTAATCAGAGTCCTCAAAGACTATTAATAAATATTGTAATTTTTACTCTAGGTTCGATCTGAAGAAGTAGTTAAATGTTTTATAGCTCGAATCCGAGAGGTCAATCCCATTATTAATGCTGTCACTGATGAATGTTTTGATGAAGCCATTGAAGAAGCCCAAGCAGTGGATGCCATCGTAGCATCTCGGTCAGAAGAAGAACTTAAACGAGAAAAACCTTTCCTTGGAGTTCCCTTCACTACAAAAGACAGCACAGCTTGCAAAGGTAAACATTTTAATAAAGGGATTTATTATGTGAATATTAATAGTTTAAATTTCAAATTTATTAGTTTGAAAGAAAGACAATTTTTAGTTTTTCCAGTTAGCTGTTCAGGATCAACAAGAATATATGTTTATAATTATAAGAATTTCAAATGTATTTGCGAACAAATTTCGAAATTTTAATTTTTTGCCTTTGAGAATTCTGAATGAACGGACATTTCTTATTACTTTAGTTTTTAATTGCTGTGAAGAATACCGTGAGACTAGGAAGAAAATATAATAGTACCTCTACATAAAAAGGGGAGCTGTGAAAATTACAGGGTGATTTGCGTGTCATCCTGGATATGTAAATTGTATTCAAGGATAGTGGAAGTAAAATTAAGGAGAGAGGAAGAGGAGCAAGGGGCCTTTAGACCATGCAGTCAAACACAACACCATATTTACACCATAAGAACTATAATTGAAAAAATATTGAGTAAGGGAAAACAATATGCACTGCTTTCATAGATTTAAAAATCAGCATTCGATACAGTATCCAGGCAAGAACTATGGTACGCACTGGAGAAAGCAGAGGTTTCAGGCAAAATTATGAGGGTAATTAAAAGCATATATACAAATGTGTATGGTACTGTAAGGCTGGATGGACAACTAAGTGGGAAATTAAGAATGGTCAAAGGAGTTAAACAGGGAGATTCATCGAACCCTTTATTATTCATAATCTTTATGGATCAAGTTATTAATCAAACAGAAAGGCGAATTAAGAAATGTAAAATTGGAAAATGGGATCGGTATGGATTCAAGCCTTGGTGTATGCGGACGATATTTTATTGCTTGCAAAAAATCCAAGAGAGCTGCCAGAGATAGTAATTGAGTGGGAGATAGTAATTGAGAGAGAAAAACATAGAACAAGTAACAAGTTATGAGTATTTAGGAACAATAATTTCAGATGGAAAATATGCAGAGGAACTGAATAATGGAGTGAACAAAGCAAACTCTGTGTGTTATCAAATGAATAAGATCTTACTAAGTATGAATATAGGCACTAGAACAAAACTCCCCGTTTATAAGTCTGTACATATACCAACATTAATATACGGAACTGAAAGTATGCCACATAATACGAAAACAGAAAGTAGAATTACTGTAGTGGAAATGAAATTCCCACACAGGATAGTAAGGAAAACAAGAAGAGATCGGATAAGAAATATCGCAATTAGAGAAGAACTAAAACTTACACCTCTAATGAAAGAAATGGAAAACAAGGCTCTGAAGTGGTATGTACATGTTAATAGAATGGCAGAGGATAGAAAGCTGAAACAAATGATGGAAGCCAGGCCAGAGGGAAAGAGACCATCAAGAGTGTGGGGCGCATATATACAGGATATATGCCAAAGGAATGGAGCTACACTAGGAGAGGTGAAGCTCAAGGCATATGACAAAAAGGAGTATGTCAAATGGCTAACTCAACGCTGAGAGGCATCAGGGGAAGAAGAAGATTTCTGAATGAAGGGACATATCTTGTAACTTGAGTTTTTAATTGGCATCTGACAAGATGTTAATTTCTTTCATCTACACTTCCCTAGAAATTTGCTAGGCGCTACTGGAGATAATTATCAATTTGCACTCTTGTGACTAGTGAGAAATCACGTGTGTGTATGTGTATGTGTGTGTGTGTGTGTGTGACTGAAATGAAGTACCGCTCATAACATATTTGATAATGAAATTGTCACCAAATAAGTTCTCTACCTACACCAAGTATCAATTGTATTGTGTCTTTTCTTCTTGTTCCCATACTTAATAGTAGGTTAATTAAATTATAATCACCTCTTTGTTCAAGTCTGGAACAAATTGTCTTGTGAAGAGGGTTCATGTGAAAACAAAATTCCTTTTTGTAAATTTTCTCCTATTCATTGTGGTAAACACCCCTAAGTTTGGGTAGCCTTTACAAATATAAAAGTGGTAAGGTTATTCCTTGCTCAGGACACAAATCTACATTCCTTCTGTGATTACCTGCGGGACTTGTGGCAGTATGAGTAGTGAATGTGCTTTCCACTGCTGGGACCCGGGTTCAATCTCTGACCAATCCTTGTGGAATTTGTTGTGGACAAAGCCAGCTCTCAGCAGGATTTCTTGGTGGTCCCATTTCCTCTGCCCGACATTCCACCATTGCTCCATCTTTTGTTTTATTGATTAGTGATTACGGGCTCATCAACTGCTAAGGTCAATAGTCCTGTAATATTGTGGTACATATTTTCTTCTCGGAGGTAGTGTGGATCTCCAGACCCACTGTTCGCTAGTGGGGCACCACCCCAAGTGGGACAAACGCTAAGCTCCTGACCGGTCTGGTAGGTAGGGTAGTGGATGTAAGTGTGAGTGTGTAAGTAGGGGTAAGGATAGGACTAGGAAGAGGAAGGAAAGATTGTGCATAATCCGTTTGTTAGGGTACTGCACAAGCATTCACCTGGTATTGATTGAAGAAAGCTCAGCAAATTGCCAATCAGAGCAGCCGGTTATTAGAATTCTTCTCCAGACAGCGACTGAACTTGATGTAACTAAAAAACAATCCTGCCATTGTCAGGACTTGAACCTAGGACCTCCTCGTCAGAGGCACTGCAGTGAATTGATTATTCCTCCTTATCAGTATTGCTATAGTCTATTCATTAGATCTTCACCCATGGATCTCAATGACCTCAGGAGTTGAAGGGCACATGGTGAATAAATAATTCTTTTATTCCTGTATAAGAAAAGGTAACACCAGTTCTTTTGTAATTCTAAAGACTGACCCAATAAAGCAAAGTTTACGTATATTCACTTTCCTCTTTAAAGGTGAAGAGTTAGTGATTGAGCAGTTCTTTCTGTAAAGAAGGGAAACAAATTTCATTTCTAGGAGTCCTTCATACCCTTGGGATTCAAGCACGAAAAGATGTACGAGCCGATGAAGACTCAGAAGTTGTTGCTCGTCTCAAGGCTGCGGGTGGTATTTTACTTGGAGTAACCAACATTCCTGAAATTAATATGTGGTGCGAATCACGAAACATGCTGCACGGGCAAACAAATAATCCATATGACACCCGACGCACTGTTGGTGGTTCATCAGGAGGTGAAGTAAGTAGCAGTTGAAATGTTTTATTTTATTTATTAATTGATATAATTTAATTTTTTATGCAAAGTACAGCTAGTAAACTTAAAATTAAGACTATAAACAAAATAACTTAAGATAACAGCACTGTGTATTAATTGGAAAATACTGTTATGCACTCCAAGAAATAATCTCAACCAGATCTATTCTATTTCTATTTCTAAATCAAACTTGGGATTCAATTCACTAATATAGTGAATGCATAGAATTGCTAACAACTGTGATATTGATTTATATTGTGTTTTGATGAGAAAAAATTATAAATCGAGCAAATTAATTTTATTTGAATGACTTTAATTGATGGCTATACATATATTTTATGGTTTCTTTACCTTGTAAGATTTGTATATTCTACAGATGTAAAATTGGGCTATTGCATGTTTATTATTAATAAATAAATAAATAATTGGTTATGCTGGTTACAAGTGAAACAGTTGTATTTACGAACAAATGAACTTAGAGATTAACACAAAATTATTTGCTAATTTCATCAAACCAGACAGTTTTGGTTTCAAAAGTGTACTGTAATTGCAAGTTGGAATATAGAATTGTCTGGTATTAATCAGATTAATTTGTGGAATGGATTGTGTGTTCTGTGAGAATATATACAGAAATTGAATTATTGTAACAAGATATAAATTTTGATTTTGATTGTTTATTGTCTAGAAGAAAAGCTAGGGCCATTTGCTTAATGCATCAAGGAAAACTGGTTGAAAAATGTGATGGGATGAAAGACATCATTGACTCGAAACTGAATTTCAATTCTTGTTGCAAGCATATTCAATGAATAAAAATAATTTGTTCACATATTGCTCTTAATTTTTGGTACAAATAATTATACATTATCCTTAAGATACATGTTAGTTTTTGTATTTAATTGGCTGTCCGGGTGATGCCATGTCCATGGCAAAGGTGCCAATGTGGCGTCACCCGGACAGCCAATTAAATACTGACTGGCTGCAGAAGCCTACGCTCTCCCCCGAGTTAATTTTTGTCTACAAATTTTGCAGGCCTGTGTTATTGCAGCATGTGGGTCTCCTCTAGGTATTGGATCAGATATTGGAGGCTCTATTCGACTTCCTTGCTTCACCTGTGGAATATTTGGCCACAAACCTACTACTGGTTGGTTGCTTTCTTGTTTTGGAGGTTCATTTGTGACAGTGTATGTATGAATATATGCAGAGTGTTTCTGAAATGTCTCAAAGCAAAATAGGAGATGAATATTGAGCTCAATTAAAGCAGGTGCCTGAGCTACTCATTGAATGCTTTTAATTTAGAAATGAATTAGATGAGTTTGCTGCCTGGAAGTCAGGCAATCCACTATTTATATTGGATAATTTGGTATGTTGATATTATCAACTAATTACTTCTAAAACACTGATGAATCTGATGTGTTACATGATGTGGACAATGTGTCATGAGTCTAAGTGATACATTGATTACTATAAGTACTCAAATTTCTGCCAGCATCTCTTGAAGCTACTTTGTTCCTAAACTAAAAATATTCTCTGCTTCCTATCGTATTTTGAAAATTTATATCCAAGAGCATATACTAGAAGGGCACTGATATGAGTGTGAAGTGTGGGTTTGCATACAACTACAAACAAATTACTTAACTACTTTTAATTTTATTTTATTTTTCTTGTATTCCGATACTAACAAAGAATGTGTTCGTGCAGGACTGACTCCAACTAGAGGTTTAACACTCCGAACAGGAGAGGAGGGTCGGACTATGGTGTCAGCCGGTCCTATGAGTCGCTACGTCCAAGATCTGGCTCCTCTTCTGCGAGTTCTCATTGGCGAAGATAAAGCTGTGAAGGAGTTGCAGTTAGATGATGAAGTGCCACTGGCTAACCTGCAGGTTGTTTACAGTGATGCTCTGGGTGACATCCGGGCAAGTGCCATGAGGCCTGATATGATGGAACCTTTGATGAGAGCTGTTAATCATTTCCAAGAAATTTCAAAGTTGCCCGTCCGGAAGGTGAGGGCAGTAGCACTATTTCTAGTATATGTGATTGATATTTAGGCAGAAGAAATTATTTAGTTACTATGAATTCTTTAGTTATAGACTTAATATTTAAGTTGCTCAATATTAAATTGTTTGTGATTGTGAAGCCAATTTTTACCCAGGAAGTGTTGGGGGGGTGTTGTGTTGTGCTGTGTTGAGGGGGCCACCACCAAGAGTGTTAACTCGCATAAGATCTTAGCAAAATTAATTTTTATTTTTCAGATTCACATTAAGAATATGAAATACACATTCCGTCTATGGCACTACTGGATTTTGAAAGAACCATGTGATTTTTCATATGAATTGTCTAACAGAAAGGTATGTCACGACTTTTTCTCTGAATGTGTAATGTAAAAATATGAAAGTAGATGTGAAACATTTTGTAAAATGTGTCACTGATTACAATTTACGATTCTGTCAGTGAACTGTTGAATCAATGATAATGTAATGACTTGAATAATTGTTTGTTTTTATTTGATGGTTGATTATTGTTTGGTTTATGTTCATCACCATTTGTGGAGATTATATTCACAGAACAATGAACAGCAATAGCTGCAATTGGTGAAGAATTTAAAAATTAGAGATGGGGCATGGTCCTAAAGCCCCTTGAGTTTGGAGATGGGTATATTACGTAATAAATAGTCTTTGTTGTGTGAAGATATGTAGTGTTAATTTCAAAATAATATTTCATTTCATTGTTTTGTTTATTTCAACCTCAAAATTGAAGAAATGCATGATAGTGTGCAAACGAGCAGAGTTATATTGTGTAATCTGTGAAACAAATTTTGAAAATGTGAAAAGCAACAGACAAAATAGTTAAAAAACGGTGAAGTGTCTTACTTTTGCCTTTTGCCTCTGGTGCGCAGGGTCGTGTGGATTTCTGGAGGGAGCTTCCTCTGAAATTGTTTGGAATGAGCAATTTCACGCTGGCTGCTATTGTCCGTCTGGCTATGGAAGCCATTCTGCCCGTTGAGGCCCCTGCGTGGGCGGAAGAGAAGACTAATTCCATGGTTAAGGAGATAACGGTATGGACAAGTAATACTGCTTTCTGCTTCTAGATACATGGTATGGAAAGGAAGAAAGGTAGTGCTCAAATTACAATAAATGTAAAGAAAATTGAAAACAATTAAAAAGGGTCTAGGTTAACCTCTAAACACCCCTGGGGTAATTTTTGGTTAATTTGTTATTTATTGAGATGATTATTTATGACTCTCATATATTGAGTGTATTGAGTAAGATAAAAATTGATGCATTACTTTTCCACCTTCTGAGGAAAAGTGTTGTGAAGACCTCTCTAAATTATAAGTATGAAAATGAAATTGTTTGAAATGAAATGTTGATCTGAATGTTTGAATGTTTCTCTCTAATGAATTGCATACCTATGTTTCCTCCTTGAACTGTTGCCTTTGAAAACTCAGAAAATTTTATTCATCCAATTCTGGTCGAACAAATGAATCTAATGTATAATTCTTAAAATATTAGTAAACCCAGAGAATCTGGAAGGGGAAAAAAAAGGAAAAAGGGGGAAAAAGGGGGGGGGGGACTGCTGAACGCTAGATGAAATGAAGAAATTTATAGTATTCTTTTGATATTTAGATCAATCTTTATGAATGATTACTCAAAGTAGTTTAAAATTGACCTGACGTGTTAAAAACAAGCAGGAAAATGAGGTAGTTGGGGCATTAAATATTCTGTCGCTGAAGTGTTAAAAGAACAGATACTTAATGATGCTTTCAGCTTGTGCACATCGAATATCAGTACGTAATTATAGATCAAAGGCTTCTATGTAACATAAATATGTATACTTTTTTTGTGATAGGAAATCCTTGGGGAAAATGGGGTTCTACTGTTTCCTAGCAGCCCCATGCCTGCCATGCATCACTACGCAAGCTTCGTGAGGCCATACAATTTTGCGTACTTTGCGATCTTCAATGTTCTCAATTTGCCTGTCACTCAGGTGCCCATGGGCCTCAATGCAGAAGGGATCCCTGTGGGAATCCAGGTGAGTGGTTTGGTTTTCATAATTATTGATTGGGATAAAATGTATAATGCATTTAGAATTGGCAGTGAATATGATCTCTGGTGTTCTGTGTGTGTTTTCTTCCTCATCTTTAAGAATTATTAGATTTGAGAAATGACCAAAAACTTATTAAATGTACTCTTATTTTGAATTAAATTCTTTATTTTTGGCAGTAGTGAGACGTGTCTGTGTTATTTAGCAAAAATGAGGTCCTTTCATTTTTTCATAGAATATGGAGTATTCAAACTAAGTAAATGTTTTGTTTTAGGAGGGGGGAAATTGTACCATTTAAAAGTGAAAGTGATATGAAATAGTGTGAAACCTCAGATGTGATTATAACGAGTTAGGGGGATATTGAAGGCCTATGCTGCCCTGGTAAGCCTAAAAGGTGCATCTCAGAAAACTGAAATATTTGCCATGAACTTTTTAGTAAAAATGTATTTTAACATTAAAAAAAATATCTGGGCTTTTCAAATCATGTGAATGGTCAAATCATCTGAATTAATTGTTAAACGCAGACAAAAAAAACAACAAACAAACAAACTTGAGATATGACTGTTTGGTTTAGGAGGGCAAAATGGTCTCTGGAAATTAACTGTCTTTATCTTTTTAATGCTCAGAATGGTTTGCTAGTAGAAAAACTTATTTTTATGTAGCATTAATTCTTTTGAAAAAATAAGAATAAGGTGTACAATTGTACAAAGTAAACTGTTGCCTTGAAGCTACATTCTTAATTTTGCAATGAGCCACATGTACAGTTCTGCAGAAATTAAGTAGATTTATACAGAAGTCAGATGTAATCTAAAGAGATAGTCAATGTGAAAATCTAGAGTAAGTAATGTGAAAAAGTGGTATGAATAAGTAAAGGTGACTCGTTTTTCTTTTTCACAGGTTGTGGGAGCTCCCAATAAAGACAGGCTGTGCCTGGCAGTAGCGAAGGAGCTCCAGAAGGCGTTTGGAGGCTACGTCCCTCCGTTCCCTGTGTAATGGTGTGGGGAAAAACCAATTTTCAGAATATGAATTTCCATTTTATAATAAGACTGTCTACTCTTGTTCTTGTACTTTTTGTGGAAAATCATTCAATATTTATTTGTGTATGTTGAATTGTATTTTTACTAACTTATCTTGCTTCAGAGAATGCGAAATGTATTATTAGCTGGTAACTAAATGGTAAACCAATGGTGTTTGTTGGTACTCTAAAGACTGTCTTACATATTTCTTATATTTTGTATGTTATATTTTCGTGTACGGAATAAATGTGTACAATAATCGGAACAAAGAATGCCCGCTCGTTGTGTTGTCACTTTCTGCTGTCACCTATTTAAATCCTATTGTCCTTGGGCGCCAAATCGACTAGCGTAGTCCGAGCGGGCAGTCGGGAGGGTTACCGCGAGAGCGCAGCACGCGTCGGGCGTGCAAGATGGCATCCCGACGTGTTTAGTGTGCATTGTGTGCGGGGAGAGTCGAATAAAGATATCGCCATGTAGTGAAGGCGATGTGGGGGCCTTCTGCCGCGAGACATGGATGACCCGTGCCAGCATCCATGCATTCGTGTGCGACGTAAGAACGTCCGTGTGGTCAACGAGCACAAGGACAAGATTCGCGAGTTGTTCGCCGTCCGACTGAGCCGAAAAACATCCCCTCCGCCGCCCAGGCACCGCTCCGCCGCCCACCAGCCGCAGGATGTGTCAAAGGCCAACTTCGTGTACCTCTCCGTGGAGCCCGTCCCGCCCGCGCCGGGCGTCTGCCCGCCAGAGGTCGCCTCGCGCCTCCAGGTAAGCCCTCCGTGCATATGTGTGTGTGTGTGTGTGTGTGTCAGCCGCCCGGGGGTCGGGGCTGGTGGGGGTGGGGGAGGCACGGGCTCCTGTCATCCCGACTCGCCCGCCAGCGCGCCCCTTCTCGGCGGCGCCCCAGCGTGCCATATGACGCGTTATATAAACACCGCCCGCGACCTTGACGCCCGTCGGCGACGCCGAGGGTCGACGCCCGGCCCGGGGAGCGAACCCCAGACCCTCGCGCCAGCCCGGGCTCTGGACGACACCTGTTGCGATGTACGCTCGCTCGCCCGCCCGCCCACGCCCGTCCCGCCCCGCCCCACGGCTCGCTCGCTCGCGGGCGGGCGGGCGGCCTTGCGGGGCCCGGCCCAGCTCGAAAGCTTTCACCCGCTGCGGCACGGCACGGCCCTGGGTGGCACCCACGCATGGCCCGGCAAGAGGGCGGCGCGGGCGCGGGCGCTTGCATCAGCGCGGGGCGAGGCCGGCTCAGGTGGGCAGTGGAACGATTCGCTTCCATTGCGATCCGGATGATGACGTCTCGTTCTCTGTTGCGTCACGAAACTGCTGGCGATTTTTCAACAAACATTTGCTTTAAACAACAAATGTCTCTAATTACGTTTGTACTTATAAGTTACGTTAAATTTGCTACCAGTTGTCCAACGTGAGACCGCAAATTGACTCTTCAGTGGGACGATTACCTTTTGTTTCCATTCGTTGGATAGCGTTTTTGTCATTGTAGCTTCAAGAAAGACGACGAACGATTTTGTCTTGAAACATTTATTCTCAGTTTTAATAAAAGATTCAATGTATAACCTGCTCCATTCTACTCATTAGGGTTTGAGGTAGTTTTCTCGTCAATAATATAGATACTCGACATTTGATTTATAAGCAGTAATTCAAAATGGGAGCCTACAGGCTGACTGAGCACGTCAATGGCACTCCGGGACGATTGTCTTCTATTTCCTCTTGTTTAACAAGGTTTCAAAAACTGAAGTCATTCCCAGTACCCGAAGTTGACGAACGACTCTTGAGGTAAATTTAATTTATATGCACTGTTCATTTGTTCTGAAATAATTATTAACGATTAAATATATTTGATAAGTAGTTGTCAATTTTAGATCTGCTGAATCCTTGCAAAGATATGAAATGATATTAACTTGTTTTGAATAACTAGATTGTATAAAGCTTAAAGAAATCATGTAATGATGGTACTTTCATATTAAGGTTTCTACTGAGTCTCATCAATACGTTTTTATAAATACTGGAAAAACTACTTTCCTAAAGTATATATTGATGTTAACTCTGCATAAGCGTAATGCTGGAGGTTTTTGGCTCTAAAAAAAGCAATTGACAGCAACTTGGTGTATTCCTTATTGTGTTCTTTGTTCATTAATGTATGTATATAAACCTCTCGAGTTGAAATAAAACTTCGGGGTGCGATCTCCTCAAGCCATTCAAAATACGAGAAATGTTTCAAAACCAATTCATTGTCAGTGTTAGGAGCTGACGTATGTGAAATGCAATGTATGCAATGTTCCTAAAAAAGAAAAGTAAAAATAGAATCTTTCACAGGTTTATTACGTGTTGGGCAACGTACAATATTCACAGATGTTCGTTATCTTCCCTTCTTGACACTTGAATCTTCCCAACATTGTGATTGTGTTACGTACAACTTCTTGTGTAATATGGTGTATTCTAAATATTGTTGCTGTGAAGTTGGATAGTCGCGTTGGGTCACCATGAATCTTAGAAAAGATCTAGAACTTCAATTTTTTTTATTTTATAAAAAAAGTTATTTAATACTATTCTTGAATTATTTTGTTTCATTTTCCATTTTCCGTTAAAATTATTTATCAAATTTTCATTGAAATAATTTCAAAAACGCTGCTCCCTCCTTCATTAAACCCTTTTTGCTCAAATGAATTCGTAGAGTTGCCAACTTGCCAAGTCAGAAAACTGGACATTTCATGGGGGAGAAGAGGACTGAAAAATGTATAATTTACTTTCATTATTTGACACCTATTTTTTAAATTCATTTTAAAATGCGTATTCTTTGTTTTACAAACGTGTTACATACAATTACTGCGTGTTATAAATAACAATAATGAAACTTACATCTATCTACAACAATAATAACTATAATAACTATAATAATAATAATAATAATAATAATAATAATAATAATAATAATAATAATACATAGTTAACACGACAAATTTTGCTAATGATCTTTTCTTACCAATTTCGCCTTACGCCTTAGATCACCTTTACCAATAATTTCTTTTTGACAACGTTTAATTCCAATTTATTGTAATTCACTCCAAAGATATACAATATGGAAAATCCGTTCGAAAGGAGCGTTCTTTATAGGGACAGATACAATTTTACCGAGAAGGGTAGGTAACTCAAAATATTTTGACAGTTGATGCAAATACTTCACCCGTTTTTTATCCATTAGCTTAGCATGATCTTTAATTTTAGACATGATTTTGAAGAGTAACTGGATTTCGTCGTAGTATAATGTATCACCGTCTAGTTATCAAACTGAGACCGAAAATGTTCTCAGAGCCAACCAAGACATTGAACAAAAGTTCCTTTTTAAAATTAATGATAGAGAAATGTGCGCACGTTTTGTTGAACTACTTACTTACTTTGCTAGTTGGAGTAGAACCGGGGGTGTGAGTTACTATTATGTTAAGAATAGGTAAAAAATCAAATCTAGTTCATTAGGTTCTCTATAAGTCGGGAGCGAAAATGTCTAAATTTCAAACGTGGTTAACTTCGTTTTTTTGTTATAATTTTATTCATCATTCAACTAGGTGCAGTAAAAGGGTGGGGAAGAGATGATGTGCGATTGATTTCGCTGATGTGTGATTGATACTTATAAAGCTGTATTTTAGAACCTTTACAATTTTCCCCGACTATTGAAGGTCTTTCCAATCTCATTATAAAGATCAAGCGTGGAACATAAAAGAGTTTGTGTACAGTCTGATTTCACTAGAACTAGAATACATTTCGAAATCACCAGTGTCTATTTTTTAATGGCGATTTAGCCCAAATGAAGAAATAATTTTGAAACAAAACACAAACGAAAGTGTGATGGTTTTAGTTTCTCGCGTTCTACTTAGTGTATGGAACTTATTTTAATGCTACGGCAAAAAATGGCGATTTTTCTACTGGCATTGTTAATTCTTTATTGGGGGGCCATGAAACCAAAAAGTGGCTAAATCTTGTTCTACCTTACTGAAAAGGCTGTGTGTGGGATGCTGTTGGAATCTTAGTTTATAAAAAATAAATGTTAATAGAAATTTAATGTTTAAATTTGAAAAAGCCCAATATAATTTTCAAAAACGTAGACCGGTGATAAAGATAAAAAAACGGAAACTTCGGTCCAAATGCAGACAAAGTGAGAATCGTATTGACATGAAATAATGTTCAGAAGTCCCAGCAGTTACGAAATGATTTGTATTAGGTTCTTCTTTGAATTTTTGAAAGTTACGAAATGGTTTGTGTTAGCTTCTTAGTATTCTTGAAAGCAAATTAATCTTCGAATGTTATGTTTCTGTATAATGATGATACAAAATCTTAATAATGATTAATTTTCGTTATAAAATTCAGATATTTTAAAATTGTTTATTCGTGCAAAACCTCAAAAATGCCTCACAACATCCAAACGAATGAACACAGTTCGAACGACGTATTGGAATCCAGTGGGGCATTGGCAGATGGCGCTTGCCTCAGAGAAGGCCGTGGAAAACAATTGATGGGGAGGAGTGGATCAATGTTGCAAACTATTATTGAAGAGTTAAAAGACAATGGGTTCGTTAACTGGGGGTTGCCAATATTCAGGAACGACTTTATTCCAGCATAACCCTCTGAATGGCAGACATTTAAAGAGAAGGGGCCGGGTGTTTTTCGACGAGTCCTTGAAGGCAAGGCCATTCTCTTTAGTGTCTGGTTTCCAGCTTCATTCAATAAAGACGTTTCCTTCTATTTAAAGACTAAGACTCTGAGGCATTTTCTTTAAAAAACTGGGTGAAATTCGTGCATTCTTCACTGCCTTTTTGGAAAGAATGTGCTAGATTTTTAGATATGTCGGAAAATACACTATATTTATAATCAACCTTATGGCAGAAAAATGTAACGGCTGCACATTTAACACTGTTGTATTATTTGTATTGAATAGAACGTTTCTTTAATTTTTTCCATTGTGCACAAGCGACATGATTTTCCTTGGGTTATTGTTCATGAACTTTTGTAGGGCATTTCTGTCCTTGAAAATTTGATTTCTTGACAAAACGTGATGACCCAGGTAGGGGAACCTAGAGAAAACAGAGGCAGGTGATCCAAGGGGGTCCTTATTTCAAACAAAACAATTCGGTCGTCCCCAATTCATTTTCAGAATTTATTTCTCCGTGCATCTGAAATAGCGTTAAATTTAGATTTGAGATAAAAAATTGTTTCTTTTGATTGAAAAGCAAATTGGGTCCCAATTAAGTCGGAGTCTGCGGCA